TGTCCCAGGGATGGCCCTGGCCCAATGGGACACTCCACTAAGAATCTCGACATTCCTCAACTTCCCAGAGGTCTGCTGCTGGGTGGACAGATGTGAGCAAGGAACAATACCCAGACTTCCCAGCAGGGTAAACTCAGTACAGAGTACTTCACCCGTGAAGGTGCCTACTTTGGCCCTGCCTGGCCTGTGTTCCCATGGCTCGAATGCTCTTGTGGCAGAAGTGTCACTACTCTCAGTTAGCAGCCGCATGTGTGAGTAGCACAGGCTGGCCTCTTCAGGCTTGAGGATGGTCCAACAAACTAGGCAAGAGAACTCAGGAGCCATGTCCCTCCTAAGACAGCTCAGGAGAGACCCCCAGCCGTGGGACAAAGAACAAGGTTCCCCAGTGTGTGCCCCCAGTCACCCTAGCAAGCATATCCACAGAGGGAAGACACCTACTGGCCGCAGCTCCCCTGAGGACAGCACCTGGTGCTATGTCTCCTCGGCAGACTGGGCTCCGTGTAGAGATTTATCCTTCATCTGCCTAGCCTGAAGTCCCTCCCTCTGGCTCACTAAACAGGGACACATGGGTGGAGGACTCTTACTGCCTGCCTCGAGCCACACCCTGGACAAGGTCCTCCTACTAACAGGGCTCTACTCTGTGGATAGCCTGGCTCCATGGCTACCGTTGCTCTCCTTACCCTCAGCATAAGTGAGGCCCTTAGGGACAGTGGCTTCTACAGCTCATGCTCCACACCTGCCTGAGCTTCCCCTTTCCCACACTCCAATCAGGAAAAAGAGGAAGGAAAGAAAAACTCAGAAACCTGAAGATTGTTTGGAATTTATTCTCTTAAATAAGAATGTAACATTTGTTTAAAAAGCGGAAAAAAAAAAAAAAAAAAAAAAAAAACAAAAAAAAAAAAAACAAAGGGAAAAAAAAAAAACCTTAAAGCACAACACCTTGGTTTCACAGTAATGGAAAAAAACAAAGTTACACAATTAAACAAAAAACGCACAAAGCAACACACCAAAAAACTCACATTAGCACGGATTAAAAACAAGGGTAAATTAAAAGCTGTCGGGACGGTCAGAGTGGACAGGCAAAGTGTTCCTTGGCACAGCTAGAACTCCCATTCTGGCTTCTGTGTACCGTAGCTTTGGACATTGTTTGCTGGCCCCCCCCCCCCGCTCACCCCGCTCACCCTCCTCACCCCAAGGGAATGGTAGGCTGGTTAAGAGTGAACCCCTCACTTCACTGGCCAGTATTCAGTGGCACAGAGGGTCCAGGATGCTCCCGCTGTGCTGCAGGAAGCAGCCAGGCACAGTAAATACTACGACAGTGGGTAGCCGAGATGGCTGAAGAGGGAGCCGACACAGCCCACAGGTTGACTTGAGGGAAGTTAGGCGTCTACGACACTCTGGTCTCCCTACCAGCAAGACTATTGCTTTGCTGACTAGGGAAACTGATTACCTGAGCTTGGGGGTCTGTACCACCCATCTTCTGAGAGACCCAGCCCCATGTCTAGGCCTCCACGTGTCCACATCCAACTGTGTCTGGCTGATGAGCTCTTTTGGAATCCTGACTAGGCGGGAGTCAAGCCAGGGCAAGCTTCCAGAGAAAGCTCCTATGGCTTTCAGGTCAACAAGTAGCTTTAAAAATGGTTTCCCTGTTACTGTTCAGGACACAGTATATATAAATAGTATCTACCTATACACTGAACTTAAACCCACACACATAGATATGCGGCTATACATAGAGAGGTGTGCATCCACAAATGTTCACTCAGGACCACTGCTCAGTTTTGGCTCTGTTGGTAGGGTTGGGGAGGCAGACAGGATGGCAGCTACTCCACAGTACTCCTTTTCTGGGTTTTATAGCAGGCTTAGAAGGAAGCCATGAGAAGATCCCTGGCCTCACCATCAGACAGACTGACGTTCTTTGCAGCATGAGGCTATTCTGGCTAGGGTGGGCAATGCCTGTGTTTCCTAGCAGCCCACTGGGATTTAACTGTTGAAGCCAGTGGGTTCCATGTACCATGTAAAGAGTGTCTGCAGTCAGGGAACAGGTCAGTGCCACTTGCAACTACAGTTTCTCTAAGAAAGACACTCTTTCTCACAAGGTGACAGGGGAGGGTGCTCTTCCCGCCTGCTCTCTGCTCTGCAAATGTTCTAGATACTGAGCATTGGGAGAAAAGCTCTCTTTCTCCTTACCACTCACTTTTAGTCCTGTATAATGGGGTTCCTCTACCCAAAAAAGGAACCACTTGCAACCAAGGGCTCACATCCAAGAGAACAGCCATCCCATCCAGGTTTTTCTTTGCCTGTTGTCTAGACTTTTCCAAAACTCCAGGCAGGTACCGTGAGGCCAGGGTAGGGAAATCTGTGCCAGGCCCACTAATCCATAGCAATGAGAAGAGAAGGCTTGGAAACAAAGCATTTACAGGTTCGAGAACAAAAGGAGTTCTATATTAAAAGCACATTACAAACAGAAATACCATAAACAGTATCTCAAACAGTGGGTCAAGCACCAGCTGTAGACGAGGTTACTAGAGGAAGACAATGCATTAGATCAGGCCTATGCGAGGTTGTGGTGAGTTATATTGTTATTTTGGGGTATTTTTGCGCTGTTATTTTGTTTTTGCAGTAGAACTACTTCTTGCCTAAGGGGAAAGAAAGGCGCAGAGTGAAGAGCTATGAAATGAAGGAGGCGCAGGACCAGGAGTGCAGGGTCACTGGCCACAGCCTGGCTTTTCCTGCTCCCTCTCCATGGTGGGTTCCAGGGAGTACAGGCAGCCACAAGTGACAGAACACGGACCAAGTTAAGAACCCTTCTGTGACATATTCTGGAAGCCTGAGGCACCGGGTTTTGTCTAAACCTTCCTAGAGGAAGTTTAGTCAAGCCCTCAAAGCCAATGCGGGATTTGAAGAAGGCATTTCTACCAAAGCAGAAACAGAAACCTGTTTCATGGCAGCTCTAACATGTCCCTCAGAATTCTGCCCCATTTTCCAGTCCTTTTCAAGGGCAAGTGACAGGGCTTTGAGCATGTTCGGGACTCGGGGCTGTGATTTCCAAACCGAGAGTTTTGCCTCCCATGCAGGGAGTCCCCAGGGCTGGGGTACAGTGCCTGCCTTGCTCCCTTTGGACATTCAGCCTGGGACTCTTTGGGACCCGAGTCTTGACCCTTTCTCTCCTGCTGTCCTACCCAGAGCCCTTCCTCAATTGTTTTGATTCTTAACCACACTGGCAAGTCCCGTTTTCTCCGTGCTTTATGAAGCACTTTCTTCCTTACCTACAGATCCCCTAATTCTTCAGAGTGCCCTAAAAGTCTGAAATCCATTATGCTTTCCTTGGACAAGCACAGAGGCCAAATGGACACGTCAAGAGAGTTAGCAAAATCACAAAATTTCTTTTCAAGAGAAAGTTTTTGTGCCCTTTACCCTTAGGGAAAGTGGACTTTTTTTTCCTTTGAGTAGTCCTTGGCAAGCCTACTAGGTGGGACTTTTACCTGATCACGTGCGCATTCCAGTATAGAGCCAAAGTTGTGTCTGGGACCAGGGTAGTTTTTCTCTGCGCTGGAGTGTCAACTCCTGAGAAATATTACCAAGGGCTGACAGACTTCCTAGGGCTCAAAGTCACTCATGCCTTAAGTATGGTTATAAACTGTGAGTCCCACCGTGAGAGCCACCTAAATCTTCTGGTTCCTCAAAATATAAGCAGGGAATACAGAGAAGGGACAGTCAGGCTCACCAGGCCTGGCTGGGGTCTCTGCGCCTTGGATGCTTAACATACCCCACCCCCCACAGTGCTCCTGCCAAGCTCCAGGCACAGCCTCCCTCCTCTGACAAGTGCCCAAGGGCTGTGTCTGTTCCTTACCACCAACAGAAGCAGCTCTATTTGAAAGCAGCTAAGAAAATCCTCCTCCTCCTCTATCATGGAAAATATACATAAGCTCCTCGTGGCTTCTGGCATTGGCTGATAATCTTTCATTTTTATTTGAGTTTCTACCTGGCTGTGCAAGATATATTTGCTGCTGGGCATAGGGGCGCACACCTTTAATCCCAGCACTTGGGAAGCAGAGGCAGGTGGACCTCTGTGAATCTGGGGCCAGCCTGGCCTACATATCCAGTTTCAGTCAGGGCTACAAAGTGAGAATCTATCTCAAAAACCACATACAAAAAAAAATAATAAAGAAAAAAAAAAAGATATGCTTGTAAACAAGAGAAAATGTAACACACAGAAGTACAGCCTTATAGACGTCACACGTAAAGAAAGACCCATGAGAGGCATCTGGGGCTGCCACAGGGGACTCAGGACCTCTCCGCAGTGTATAGAACTGTGGCAGACTGGGGGAGGGGAGAGCAAGACAATTCTCTACAGGCAGGGCTCATGCTCCTGACATTCCCCATTCGGCCTCGCAATGGACGGAGTTGGCACATTTTCTGAGGTAGGATGGTACCACAGAGCTCTTGACACAGGAAGTTATGGTAATGAGAGAGGGGCAAGGGGGTCTTGACCCTCACTGGACACTCAGATCCCTAAAGTGATTAGGATAGGCTGGCCCTTGTCACATGGACACTGAGCTGTGGAACGGGATGCAAAAGCTTCACGCTGCAGTGAACACATTCAAACTGTGGCCATAGTTACACATCTCTGTGACACGAAACAGGCCTGTTGGCTCAGGGCTTTCCCTGGGTAAATGACACAGCAGTCTCTTGGGTTTCTGTTTACCTACAGCGTCTGCACCGAGTACCCTGGTGCATCTTGGGACAGCACCGTCACTGGCTCACAGCCTGCCAGTGAAGCTCCCCTCCAATCTGCACCAGAACCTCTGACAGGCCATAGAGGAAGGGGACTCCAAACGCCAGCAGCTGACACATGAAAAAGGAGTCCAGGGGGTTTTGGGCCACCTGATGCCCGACTGAAGAAATGTTGCTTTGGAGGTGCTGGCTCATCCCCTTGGCCTTGTCACAGAGGCCGAGAGAGTGATGCACCACCCAGGCAAACAAGGAAGTGAGGCTACCTGGAGTTCTCTCGGCTGAGCTGGGGGCAACGCTGGCCAGTCCGTTTGCATCTCCAGTGGGGCCATCCTGCAGGGATCCTTTGGCTTCCTAGAAGAGTCCAAAAAGAGCAGTGACTCTTGACTGCAGCCCTCCAAGTCAGCAGACAACGATCCCACACTGGCTACTCTGTCTACTGTACCTCCCGGAGAGGAAGTCTTCCTCAGAAAGACGACTTTTGATCCTCTTAGATTTCAAAATCTGTGACGCATTTACACAACATATATGCACCCTCTTGCCAACTTTAAAAGCTCTCTGGCCGATTTATGTAGCAAGTAACTACTACACACAGTAAAGGGTTACTACACTGGATTACTTAGAGGGTAGAAGAGTGCACAGACTTGGAACAAGTGTGTTTTTCCTCAATGGATGCGACCTACGATGCAGACTCCATGGACGCAAAAGGCCTCTGTACACCTCCTACCACCCTCTGCAGTCAACTCAAGCTTTAGAACAGAGCAGTAATCAGCTCTGCGGCCGAAGTGCTGTTGATAAAGTGGTGGGATCACTCAGGCCGCGGCAACAAAATGCGAACAGACCACTCTCATTGAAGCAGAAAAGTCAAGGGCTCAGATGATAACTCATGGAAGCAGCTTAGAGGGGAGCAGGTAGAGTGGCTGTGGCGGTCTGGTCTCCTCCTGTGGAGAGCAGGGGCTGTCCCTCGGATGCCTGGGGTGTGGGCCTGAGACAAGGAAGGGACTCCTGAGGCTGCCTATTCGCCAGCTGTAAGGAAAAGAGCGCTGACCTTGGGGAAGGAACAGCTCGGGGAAGGGCTTACTCTGCCCTTCAGCCCGGAATAAGCCCAAGCATTGTCCCTGAAGACACAACAGCAGCACTAAAAGCTTGCAAGCCTGCCTTCAGCCAACTGCGGTTCCTCTCAAGCCCACTAACAGGAAGTTACCTTTCCAGGTAGAGGAGCCACCGCTGGCCGCTTCCTTTGCGCGTAGCCAGATAGTCGGTAACAGTAGTGCGGCTTACAGTAGAATTTGCCTGTGAACAAGAAGAATCAGGAAAAAGAGTGAGCAAAATGCCACAACTGTGACCTTGACTTGCTGGCCACAGGATGGTGCCATTGCATAACCCCGGCCCCCACAGCTCCAACTTCCCCCTACGATCCAGAAAGGCCAGCCCCCAGCCTTCTTTCCCTGTGATCCATGCAGAGGTCTTCCCCTCGGGGTGTGTGAGGGCTGTTGAACCACCACCAATCAGCGCCCAGAGCAAAGATGTGAGGCTTGCATGACAGGGTCAGCAAACAAAGTAGTAGTGTGTGAGGACAAAGACACGGTCACATGAAAACTGCAGCGCATTTCTGGGGAGGGCAAGAATGAATACAAGTGCAGGGTGGAGGCAGGAAGGCTTCAAGGGCCAGGGTGGTGCCAGTTACTAACTGAGAGAAATTTCTCTGCTCCCCTCCATTATCGTGGACTCCCACCCACCCTGTCACTAGCCACAGCCAAAGCAGGCTGCATCCCTAGCGTGCTAAAAACAATACAAGGGATGAGAGATGGCTGCATACAAGCTTGGCAACCTGACTTGCGTCCCTAAGACCCATGCAAAAAGCAGGATGTGGTGGTGGGAATCTGCAACCCAGCCTTCCTATGGACCGACAGGAGGTGGAGTCAGGACACAGGAGCTCCCTGGTCAGCGCTGTGGGGCAGCAGCACAAACAGTAAGAGACCATGTCTCAACAAGGTGGATGGAGATAACTGATTCCCCAAGGTGTTCTCACCTCTACACACATGCATGGTATGCATGCTTGCACATGTGCGCGTGCGCGCAAACACACACACACACACACACACACACACACACACCCCAACAAAGAAATCTTCCACACACGCCCTCTTCCTCTCTCTGTCTCTCTCCCTCTCTCTCTCTCTCAAAACAACAGCAACAAAGAACTCTTCCACTTACTAAACAGTGAAGCTTGAGTGTGCTTCACTATATTTAACCAATGCTAACCATATTTAACCAGTGCTAACCATATGTAACCAGAGCTAACCACATTTAACCAGTGCTAACCATATTTAACCAGTGCTAACCACATTTTCTAAGACTCCAGTCCTATCTACATATACTTACTGGGGTCTTACCTAGTGTGCTGCTGTCTCCCAAGGAGACTAGGGCCCAAAGGTCTGATAGAACCATTTCCCTTTCAGCACAAGTGCACTGGGATGAACCAGGAGTCTCTTCTCTAACTTGTGGTGTAGAAGCTCTTCAACATCTGTCCCTCTCTGAGAACAGCTGCATCAGGAGCTGCCTGCTTTCCCTTATCATTTGCCAAGAGCAACTTCAACAAAGGTAAACCCAGGGGATGGACAAGGCAGAGGAAACAAAGGCGGGTGGCAGCTCGTCCCTTCCCCTTCCCCGGTGATACAGGCATATCTTTCTGTGTCGTGTGTGCTTGCTGCGTGCACATATGTGTGAATGGAAACCAGGTGCGTTCCCCTCTATAACTTCCTGTTTTGTGGCCTTGAGATGGGTCTCTCACTGACCCAGAAGCTTGCCATTCAGCTACCCACCAGGGAGCCCCCAGGATCTGTCAGTCTTTGCTCGACCATGCTGGGGGGGGGGGTTACAGGAATGTGCAACCATCCCTGGCATTTTTATGTGGGTACTGGGAACTCAAACTGAGGTCCTTATGCCAGCAGAGCAAGTGCTCTTCTTACCCACTGAGCCAACTGCCAACCCCTAAATATTTTCTTCATTATTAAGTGGCTGACTTAATTGCTTTATCTGCTTTTCTTACTATAAGTCAGCTTTGTCAAAATACCCAAGAAACACCTTAAAGAAAGATATATTTATTTTAGCTCATGATTTCAGAGGTCTCAGGCCAAGGTTATTTGGCCCCATTGCTTTGGGCCTAGCTGATGCAGGTTATCATGGTAGAGAGCAGGTAGAGAGAAGAGATGCTCCCCTTGAAGATGCCAAGAAGCAGAGAGAGCATGGGGAAGGGGACGGGACTGGGGACAGGTTACATCTTCCCAGGGTTCATGCTTGTGACTGCAGTTTTCAACCAGGCTACACCTCCTAAAGTTACTATCATAACCCAACAAAGCCATTGACTAATTATCCATGTGTGAACTAGCCCACTGATGAAACCAGAGTCCTCACAAGCCAGCTGCCTTCCAAACACCACCAGCTATCAACCAAGCCTTTCACTACGACTATAACTAGATTTAAAGCCGGTGGTGAAAAGAAATCTCAGAGTCACGATCTGTCACATTTCCCTAAACAGGTTTCTTACCAGCTGCGGGCACTCAGCCAGGACTGAGAGACCTGGCACTGTGTGGGTGGGTGGGTGGGTGGGGGCATGTGACAGGCATAGGCCATCATCTCACCGTCTGTTTCTCTACAGGTGAACAGAGTTGATTTTTGTGGTTGTTTTTCTTTTGTTTTTAGCTCATCTACGATTCCTTTTAGATAATCTGTAATAATCCACTCTGTTCTATTTTTCTGGGGGGGGATTCCCCCCCAGCAAATAGAAGATAAATTTATTAGTATCTGAATCATCCACTATATTTTAGGTCTGCTTTGTATTTCTATTTCATCCTTTAAGAAATACCCATCTTCCTTCACGGGATGGTGATGGGACTACCACCGAAGATACTGGACCAGACTGGTCAACTTCAGGACCCACTCCCCAGGGCTGGCATGTGACTGAGGCCAGGCTGATTGTAGCCATTATGGAGGACTGCTGTGACCCTGAAGGAAACACTTCTCTGAGATTATTTAAACTTTATTTTACTTTTTTAATGTGTGTTTGGCCTGTGTGTATGTCCGTGCACCACTTGTGTACCTGGTGCCCACAGAGACAGAAGACAGCGTTGGTTCCAGCGGGACTGGGGTTACAGGCATGAGATGTGAATGCTCCATCAACCATCAATGCCTCTTTATTGGAGGTACGGACTCATGTAGCCCACCCTGACCCTGAACCCCTGGTCCTCCTGCCTCCACCTCTCGAGTTCTGAGATTAAAGGTGTGTGCCACTATACCTAATTTTAATGTAGTTTCTTATTCTTTCCCAAAATCAACTTAATTACTTTTGCTGTTTAAATGAGTTAAAACAAACAAACAAATAAATCACCACTAATTTTTACCTAACATTTACTATGTTCCAGACATGATTCCAATTGCTTTACAACTATTCATTCATTTAGTGCTCACAGAACCCAGTGAGGTACAGACTGTTACTATCGTCCATAGGTGAGGCACAGTCAGGCTAAGCTGCCTGCCAAAATGCCCCATAGTCAGAGCATCTCAGGCAGGAAACCATCTCCAGAGCCTGTACTGTCTGCCATTGTACTATGGCTCCTGTCTCAGGAAAGCCAGCCAGGCTAACACTGTGACTTAATCACAAGTTATAGAGGCTCAATAAAGTGACAAGACTGGGGAGCACCTGGACTAAGCTTTTTTTTTTTTTAAAGACAGGGCTTCTCTGTGTAATAGCTCTGGCTGTCCTGGAACTCGATTTGTAGAGCAGGTTGGCCTTGAACTCACAGAGCTCTGCCTGCCTCTGCCCAGCTTAGATCATAATCAATCTTGACAATCAAACTGAGTGACAAAAAGGGCAGGCACAGTGTCATTTGATGACATGGGTAACATGGACACTGGGTCTCCAGTCAAGGTAGACGAGCACTGTAGTTGGATGGAACAGAAGACACACGCCTTAGCATGAGAAAGCAGTAAACACGGTGGCCGCCTCATGGCCAGAAGTCTGAGGACACCTCTGAGAAGAGGGCATGTGGGGACAGGAAGGCCAACAAGCCCATTACAACATGACTAGGAAAGTATATTGTAGGCAGGGGACGGCTCAAGCAAGACCCTGTGGCACCAATGGTGTACTTAGGGAATGAAAGCGAGACCATCGCCAGCCCATGTGTCAAATAAAGGCTCGGTCTTCAGTCACTGGCAGAGGTTAGGTTGCTGGGGGTGTGCCCTGAAAGGGACTGTGGATTCCAGTCCCTTCTTCTCTCTTTGGCTTCCTGGTAAGGAGGTGAACACATCCGCTCTGCTGTACACGCCTGCCAAGTGCTGCCTACCGTGTTTCGGCCAGAGAGCAGCAGACCAATGGGTCACAGACTAAAACTTTCAGATCTGCGAGTCAAAATGAAATTCTTTTTTCTACGAGTTGATTGTCTCGGGCACTTCATCACATCGACAGAAGCTGAGTGACATAAACTGGTAAGACCTAGAGGCATACCCACACTTCATGTATACCCTCAAGACTTTCAGGCATATCCACGGTGAAAGACTAACTAAAATTACCTAAGTACCAAGAACAGTTCTTAGTGCTGGGACCCTGCCTGCCAGCCTCTCCTTGGACTTAAAGAGAGGAACTGAAATCTCAACACTGACAGATCTGCCTCCTCACGTGATGGACTCCTTCAGTTCTTCACGAGCAGTCTTTGTTAGTGCAGGAAGCTGATGCTGAGTTCACCACTTTGCTTTGTGACAGAGATGTGGCTATCTAAGTTTCCTATTAGGAGAGTCTGGGTGACTGGGGTGACTTAATTTGGGCTCTCTCTGCCTTCTACTCTTAAAGTCAGTATACCACCTACTGAGACCTGGCTTACTATCATCCCTGTGAGGGTTCAGTTTCCTCTCCTGTTCACTTGGGTTTATTACTCTTAAACTACTAAATTAAACCACACCCCATGAATCCCTCAGCATCCTTTAGGGGTGGCTAGAGGAGCCATAAATGCCTTTGGCCACCTATTTCCATTCCTTTAAGAATCTTCGGATGAGCTGGGCGGGGGTGGCATATGCCTTTAATCCCAGCACTTGGGAGGCAGAGGCAGGTGGATCTCTGTGAGTTCCAGACCAGCCTGGTCTACAAGAGCGAGTTCCAGGACAGGCTCCAAAGCCACAGAGAAATCCTGTCTCAAAACAAAACAAAAAAACAAAAACAACAAAAAACCAAAACAAAACCACTTCAGATGACAAGTTGGCTGTTAACTTGACTCACCATCTTCTATGTCATAGGCGTACGCAGAGAGGCGCAGTGTGGTGGCGCAGTACTCGCATTTGAAGCAGCTTCGATGGAAGAACTTGCCCTCGGCGCTCAGCCTCTCCATCACATAGACCCGCTTTTGGCAGAAATAACATGTGTCGCTACCCCCCAAGTTCTGTGGGAACTCTTTCTTTATGGAGCCCTGTGGGGTGGATAAAGGAGGAACACATCAGACTTTGTGGCCTCTCCCAGGGCCATGAAAGCCCTCTGTATGTGATGATGACATGGACACAGACCGTGGCTATGAAATGACTACAAATGCTCTATTTGTGCTTTCCCACAGAAGTTTCACTCCACAAGCCCTCCCAAGGACCCTCGGAGCAAGCTGGGGTCTAAACCCGTGATGATCAACAGCCAAGAGAGGCTTTTTGATGAAGGGTCCAAGTCTCAGAATTTCTTAACAATCAAACCAACCATTCTGCCAGAGTTTTGCTTGGGGGAATAGACTAAATACATATATACTCGGTGTTCATGTGTGCACGCATGTGTGCGAATCCCCTAAGTACTGGAGGGACTATATTTTCAAAGAGAAACGTGCTTCCCCACAGAACATTCTAAATGTTTGCCACAGTCCTAGAAATTCAGTCATCAAAATCTAGACCACATCAAGGAAGTTAGCACGTGGTAATCCACGTGGCTACAGAAATCAGTAAGGACCTCAGAGCAGGTGAGGGTTGTTACCATAGTGCCGTGGCTAGAGACAGTGCCCCTGGGATCTCTCTTACCAGTTCCTTCTTGTCTAGAAGGGTTTTGGGTTGCTCTTTCCTTTGAAGCTGATTGGCTATCTGCTCAGCCAATGAGCTCACTCCGCCCGTGTACATCTTTATATACTTCTATTGGTTGAAGATTACAGAATGATCAAAATGAAGGGAAATGAGAAGGAGAAAAAAATTAAATTAAGGAGACAGGAAAAAAAAATCTTTGAGAGGTGTAAGATGAGTACACAGTGCAACAGCAAACCATACCAACACAGTGCCCACAAAGCAGAAACTGGGCAGTGAGCGCAGAAACTGGGCAGTGAGCGAAACCCTGTGCCGGCGTCCACACGGTGCTCAGCACACGCATGAGCAGCAGCAATGTTCCACAGGGAAGAACTTGGTCTTTCATGTCTTCCCAAGAGTACAGTTTTACAGTTCTGGGGACAGGGAGGTAGACCACAAAATGGAAGCCAACACAGAAGAGAAAGAGGGGCCAGCATCTGGACTCACAGAGTTTGAAGGGTTAACTCCAGGAGGGTGGCTAGGGTGTCAAGGAGAGGGCCCAGCAGGCTCTGAGGACAAGGGGACCACCTCAGGCTGAGAAAGAAACCAGGCAGACTCTCGCTGAGGTTGATGTCCCATGTGGGCAATGGGTGTGAAGAGTTCTAGCACTGTTGGTGAATCTCCCTGCCTCATAGCCCAAGCCACAGAGTCTGCTCAGACAGCTGACCACCTGACCTCTTTGGGAAGAGGTCTGCTCTGGCCACTCCTCCACTAATGGGGCTGGGGGAGGTGTTGAGAGCAGAACGACAGTGCTCATCTATCCAGATGTGGAGGCTGGAGTTCTCCCGGGCCAGGTGGGACACCAAGTCACAAGCTACACCCTGAAGGAAGTCGTTTCTTTTACCCCGGGAGAATTGTTCTTAAAACTGAACAATGGCAAAAGAAGACAAATCTAAAGCAACGCACAGTGCGTACATTTGTAATCCTAGCACTGGGAGGCTAAGGTGGGAGGGTTGCCATGAGTTCAAGGCTAGCCTAGACTACATAGTAAGACAGGCTAACCTCCTCCCCCAACACACTCTAATCAAACTAATGCAGTCCCCTTTTGGCAGTGCTGAAGAAATAGGAGAGATGCTCATATCTGCATGGAGAGCTACCTTGCTCACAGAGGCCTGGCACCCTGTGGCCCAGCTGGACCCTGTCTATAGTCAGTCTTGTGGGCAGTCTTCTACAGACCTGGGAGCCAGGACTCAGGATGGAGACAGGGGGTGCTACACCTTTCACGGCAGGAAGTAAAGGATGCTCCCAGCCAAGTGGGAGAGGTTGCCATTGACTCTGACCCCAGAGATGGCCTCAACCTCCAGTAAGTGCTTTCAAGGGATAAACCTGTCACATGTAAAAGGGCTGCTGGCCCAAGCAGCAACAAGTCCAGGTTCTCTGGGGCCCGACTATCTAAGTCTGGAAACAGACACACTTGAGGAAACACTTCTCACTAGGCTAAGCCAAAGCCTGGCTGGAACCGAGCAAATCAACTTCACTTTCCAACTCAACTAAAGAGATTCCCTACGATTGGTTTTACGTGCCGATTCCAGTGTCTTAGACTGGGGGCCTGGAGACGCACAGGCCTGAGACAGACAGACGCCAGGCAGAGGAAGAGCAGAAATGAGATTAGTGCTCCCATCTGAGGGCTGTCCTCAAAGGATCGGAGTCCCAGTCTTCATCTGCAGAGCAGACGACAGAGCGACAGCACACTGTAGTCCCAGCCCCAATGTGTACACCCAGGAGCTTTCTCTTGTGACCAGAAACCATGCCCACAGCAGCCATGGCCTGGGGCTGTGCATGCAGCGGCATTTGTCACATTCAGTTCTTGGTGACACTGACGAGCATCCCCCAGAGACGTGAAGACTCAAGTTGTTTGTTTCTGGCATGCGGAGCAGGTTCTTGCTCCCGCCCTTGGAAGAGAGCTGGAGTGTAGCAGCTGCTGGGCTTACTCCACTGCACACCACACACATGCGTATGCTTCTGCACGCACACACTGGCAGGGAGTACAAAGCGTAGGCAAAGACAACAGACCCTCCATCCCTAACAAACTCCGTGGAACTGGGTCGAAGCCGCTGGGGAAAAGCAGGGTTCATTCCACACATTAAGAAGCATCAAGAGCGCTGTGTGCTCACTAGTCTACTGAGGAGAGTTAGCGGCGAAACGTTCAAATTCTGTAGCATGTGATTATGAAAACGTAGTCTTCAGCCAAAGGTTGAAAACTGCTATCAATATTGGGCACAGCTTAACAGTGGCTTCACTCGGACAGGCTGTGATGTGTGACACTCAAAGAAAGCTAGCAGCCTCTTTAACATAGGTGTCTGTGGTCACTCACAATCACTCACTCGCACGCACGCACGCACACACGCAGCTCTTCTGAGGAGCCTGGCAAAGGCAGAGCCCTTCTAGCCTCAGGCCTGGGGGGTGGGGGGAGGTAACACCTGTGAAAGTAGAGTGAGCACAGGCTGCAGGAGAACAGTTTTGCCAAGTCCAGGCCATGCTACCTGTCTGAGGGAGTCAGAGGAGGGAGAGGCGGGGCGGGAGGAGCGGAGACTAAGGGAGAGCTCCCACTGGTCAACAAAAAACCGACGAGAAGGCTCAGGCTCAGGCTATAAAATACAAGGTGGAGAAAAGAGCACACAGTAAACATCAGAAGTCAAACACAGGAAATCAGAGTTTCAGACGGCTTTGCTCTTTAGCTGCGAATGTATGTGGTAAATGAAGCAGGCCTTCCAATTCCCAGAAGCAAGTGGGCTCCATCTATGGCTCCCACGTGTTTCCCACCCGCTCCTCCTGCAGGCCTTCAGCTAGGCTGGCTCTGGAGCACGCCTCTGTGCTATAAGCGCCTATGAAAGCCTCAGGCACCTTGGTTTGGTGCTCCTACCAGGCTCCCCCTCTCTGCAGCTTATCGTTCCTATTAGACAGGTGACATCGGCTTCTCTCAGAGCCCTGGTTGACCTGCGCAGGACCCCTCCTTGTCAGAGACATCTTACACCCTTTCTAGTTCTTTCCTGACAGTGCCAAGAGCAGAATCGGGGTCCTCCCCATCCTCTGCTAGGGCATGTCCTTGACCTGTGGACAGTGCCCAAGGCCTTTTCCATGCCGCCCTATGGCCAGACCTTAGGTATGCTCCTCGTGTGGTCAGTGCTCAGGGCAGGTGTGCTTGCTAAGGAGCTAGACAAATGGCAAGCAGTGAGCCAGGGACCAGATCTAAGCAATCCCCCTTGCCTTTCTTAGACTGGCTTCAGCTGGCGCTCAATTGTAGCTAGCAGAGAGAAGGTGACAGACAGCCTTGACTGTTTTCCATCTCCACCACTTTCAGGATAAACTCCTTACAGGATAGGGAGGACAGAGACACACTGTACCCCCATTTTAGGTGACATTTCAGTGTCATGGTGGTGACAAGGTAGGGTGGCATATTATCTGGGGATTCCCTACCCTCTGCTCCAGATGTCCAGCCAGCTTCCTGGCCCTCAGAACAGCACTTTGAACCCAGGACAAGGAGCAACAATTCTGTGGATGACTGCCTGCTGGAATGTGGGACAATCAGGGTGGGGGCTGAGTGAAGGTGAGCTATGGAGAGTGACATAGTGTGTTAACAGGGCTGGCCGAGGCGGGGAGAAGTCCTGGAAAAGAAGTACGCAGTACCCCCAGTATCTAGCCTGAGCCCCACACTGAGGACCTGGAAGACACCAACTCCCTGCATGCCGTATTCCCACTTTGACGAGACGACTCTCCCTGCTGGGCACCACAGTCCTGGACCTCACACAGTTTCCCGCCAAGCTTTTACCCAGCATAGTTCTTGGATTCCTTTTCAGGTGTTGTTTATTAAAAACCACCAACACCTGATTAAGTATGCATTCTCCAGGATGTAGGGGAACCCGGCTCCCTTTCTTACGCAGGACAGGACCATGGTAGGGTCTGGGAAGAAGGAAGAAGCTATGAACACTGGCTCCTCTCCCAAGCAGCCGCAAAGCTGAGCTGGTGACAGGGAGGGCAGGCAGCTCGGCCTCTTCCACCTCAATCCCAATTCTCCTCTCTAACTGAGAACAGCTTGTAGTTTGGACCAAGGGCAGAGAAGATGATGCTGACATCAGTTTGCTAATAGACCCGGGATGGGACCTGACCTGCTGCTTGTTCCTCGATGCAGTTCTCAGAGAGCATAGGCAGGGAGAGGGCATCTGTGAAATCACTCACGAGCTACGAGATTGCCAGCTCACTGGAACCTTTAAGGATTGGTTCAATGCAAAAATCTTCATGAAATAAGTAGGCTGGCTAGGGCTTCATCATGACCTTCATGATGAACTGGCACAATGGCCCATTTTGACCTGTGACAGCTCCTCTTGGTTTTTCAGGAGAATAGCTTCTCATTATGTACCCCCACTCCGCCATTGTCTTCTTCCCCAAACTTTGGCAAGAGCTTTACTTCCTCTTAGCACTCCTATCTGGAGAGCTAAGACTGTCAACTCCACTGCCTGTCTGCCCCGAGGCTTCCCCTCTCCCCCAAAAGCTTTTTGGCCACTGGAACCTACTTTGGGGATAGAAGTGATAAAGTTTTGGAATGGGATAGGAGAACAAACTGGAAAGTCACCAAGGCCCATTGTAACAACAAACGCTCCAGGATTAGCAACCAGTCTGAATGTTTTGCAGATGGACACTCTGTTAGCAAAACAAGTTCTGGCTCTTGGCTGGGTGACAAGTGTGCAAAAAGCTGGGAGAAGGGGCTGTTCTCCATGCTTCCTTCCCTCTGCCCATCACACAGCGTGCCCAACTGTTGGTGCTCAGCATCCCATGCCACAGGCTCATGCTCTTTTACCCTCTCATGGTGGGGATTCTGCTTGCCACGGCTGTCAGCATGAAGATCCCTGTATATCTGTTGGCAACAAAGTAGAAACTTAAGCTCCATCCCAACTCTATTTGGGCCTTCTAGTGGGAAAGTTAGACAAGAATTTAGAGTCCACTCATACATGTGCCCACTCCCCCAGATTTCCCCAACTCTCTCAGTCCTGCCTATATCAAATACCATGGTCTGGGACAACTCTCCGTATGGCCTTCCACTTGCCCTCAACGAGGCAGACAAAGGACTACGGTTGGTTAGAACAAAGATGGAACAAACGTGTCTTTCACACAGGGCGTAAAGTTGGAGGCATGCAGTGGATGGCGTGGGGAGGCAGGTTGGCAGGGAAGCTTTCCCCGGCCAGACTTCAGAAAGGAAGGTGGGGAGATGGAAACTAGATGAACAAGGAACCATGGCAGAGCGGAGAGGAAACTCCAGGGTGGGGAGTAGGCCCTGCATAGGAACATGGGAGCAAGGCGCACATTACTGCCGGGAGAAGAGCATGCAGGCTGGAAGCACTGGCAGCTAACACACGAGTGTGAGATCATGGAAAATCCTAGCACTGGGGCTGCTTCAGTGAACTGAGCTAAGAACTGAGATGGCAACTATGAGGACAGGAAGAACATGATGTCCACTAAGGACGCCTTGTGATGTTCATCCTTGGGAAATGGAAGCCAATATCCCAGGTGGCTGCCCTCATCCAGTGCCCCGACATGTGGCCACAGGCAGCATGAGCTGGCCAGAGCCTGCCTCCAGACTCCTCGCGGCTCCCATTGCTCACCTACAGGCCTTGCACAACTCCTTGGCCTTTCCACCCCAACCTCAGACTGTAAGTGGAGATGATGGTGGCACCTGCCCCACAGTTACTCTGAGAACGGGCTGAAATGCTGCGTGGGGCAGCACAGATGCTCAAACTGTTAGCTTTTATTTAGAGGAAGACACCGGGAAGTCACAACAGCCACCGTGTCTCAGTTCTTAGGCCCAGGGGTGTGAGGAAGGCCTGTAAAACCAGATGTGTCATTAGTGGTCACCTGTTAGGTAGGTTACCTTCCTTATGAAAACATCCTTTCACAAACCCTGCCCTCAGAAGTGAGTGGCTTTTTATTTCATGGGATTTCAGCTCAAAGGTCAGCCAGCCATTCTGTGTGCACTCTGCGTTAGGTGTGTCCACCATAAATGTGTGTCCGTGTGAATAAACAGTCACATGGGGCTGGTGGCTCCCAATGCAGCTCTACAATGATCTGCCTGGAGTGTGAAAGGGTAGCTGTGTTGATTAGAACAAGCCGTACGAGCCAGAGAGCAGGCTGTCAGCATCACAAGAAACCAAACCCATGCAGGGAGGCCATACAAAGCTCTCTTGGCACATCATAACTGAACTGCGTAAGACAGCGAAGGAAACCAGGCTACTTTAAGTGGGGTCCTGTAAAAATGTGTCCCCCCCTGGGTTTGTGGCTGTCTGCCCTCCATAGGGACTAGACCAGACCATGCAGGATTTGAGTGCGCAGTACCCTCTATCCTGAGGTCCCAACAGGACTTGCTTTTGCTACAAGTTATCTTTTAAAAACTTATCTTTGGAAACAGGGGTTTGCCGAGGTGGTTCCCTAAATGGGCAGTGTAGTAGGAGGACAGACAGGACATAGAACATGCAGATGGTCACCTGCTGAACACTGCGAGCCCGGCGGGAAGGTGGAGTAGGGGGAGGAGAGAGGGTGATCACTTTTTTGGGGCAGGTCCGAGCACGCTCCTTTTCCTGTCGCTTTTACACCAACAGACACAAACAGAAAGAACGCTGTTGAAACAGGGACCTCAATGGATATTGTTCCTGGAGGGGTGAGGAGCATTTGCATATTTGCAAAGCATCCCAAGAGGCCCCTTCCTTGATCATCTACCTTCTACAGCACCTCACTCTGTGTCTAGGAGTGGCTCGTGTTGGGCTAAAGCCTTAAACTGAACAGCTGGTGAGAACTGTGGTGTAACTCTCCCTAATGCCAAGGGTCAAGGACTTTATCAGAGAAGTAGAGAGGAAAGGCAGATGGGCCCACACGGAATATCATATGACCTCTGCACACCAGGCCACTCTAAGCAAAGCATGTTTCTCCCAAGCCATCTGTGGCCACATCCCATCAATGCCTCACTTAAAGCCCCTGACTCATGCACAAGAGTTCTGAAAACTACAAAGAAATGCCAGGTAATGGGCTCTACAGACTAAGCCCTAACTGCCCTTGTCCTGCCAGTCCCACACATGCTCTTGTCCATGGGCTGGACCATGGTTCAGAAAGGCACTTCTCGGTGTCTGAGAAACAGCCACACATTACCCTGGAACTCTCTGGTACCTTCCAGAAGATTCTCAGCGTCCTTTACCCAGACTGCTGTACAGAGAAGAGGGTGAGGGTGGGGAGGATTGTGGCAGCCATAAGGTCAGAGAAACATCTCTACTCTGTGTTCCCACCACACATGACAATCTGCTTCCAGACCTCGGCTGATTCATGTGCAGCTTGTCGCAGGATGTACTTTTGAGATCAAAAGGAAAAGGGGAGGGCAAAGGACGAGCTGCAGTGTTTACACTGGAAACCATTGGCAAGCAGGGCTGTTATTCAGTTTCCTTCTACACGATGACCTAAGTCGGAACAGGTTCTCATGCCAACTCTGCCATGGCTACCATACCTGCCACACCTCCCGTCTCAGTAGGAGCCACTTTAAGAGACACACACAGTGAGTCACTGTGTAGTGTTGTCTGTTGGAGGTGAGTGGCTAGCCAGCTGCAGCCCAGGCACCCAGGCTCTGAGTTCCCATTCTTGGGAGCATCTGAACATATCTCTCGCTTTCAGGAGATACATTGAGAGGGCCAAACCCACGAGTTAAGAGTTGAAAAAATGATGAAAGTGAGTATTCAACACAAAATGTGAAGTACAGTGTGTCAGTGGCACCAATATAGGCACTGGAGTCTGTATTCCCAACTCGATGTAGCCCAAAGCACTTAGTGATCTTCCATCATTCAAGGTTATCAAGGCTCACGTCATCTTTCATGCCACCAGCTACAGGCTGCCAGGATCTAACTCCATTGACGGTGACAGTAAAGGAGCCAAATGACAAGCTGAACAGGCAGGAACAACAACGACAGTCTCCACACGGGACTTGGCATAATGCTATGAGCTACTGAGTTTCATGAGTGGCCTATATACAACCAGGTTCCGGGGACCTTTCAAGCTGACAGACTGATCTTTGCCAGGACAGAGGCCAAGACCCAGCGGGCTGAGCCACACACACTGCCCACTTCTTCCCAGAAGCCCAACAAAGCTGCACCAATACAGGCCACACACAGAGCCGTCCATGTCCCTACTTGAAGGTGACACCTGACCTTCCTGCTATTCTATTCTAATCTCAGGCCTTTCCTGGGAAGAATAACACTTGACACTTCCAAACTTCTGGTTTAGAGTTTACCTATTCCCTTCCATAAAGACTCTGTGCAAGCTGGAGTCTTGCACAGCACTCGGGAAGACAGAAGCTGGTGGATCTCTGTGAGTTCGAGGCTAGCCTGATCTACAAAGCGAGTTCCAGGACAGGCTCCAAAGCCACACAGAGAAACTCTGTGTCAAAAACAAAACAAAACAACCCAAATTCTTGATGACATTTTCAGAAGGCCTCCCCCTATGAAGTGGTTCCTACCAAGGAGCAAGTTTGGAGTCTGTTGTGAGTTTGGACACTGCTCCAGTATTCTCTCTCCCTTACTGAGCCCTGCCTTCCATTTGTGGTATCGTTACAGGGTTTGAGAGGAACATTTTCTTTAAAATGCAATTTTAGTAAGGCCCAACTCACCATTCTCCAGCACTTCCAGGCCCCAGAGCTGGCAGTGGCCATGGGAGAGGCTAACAGAACCCAGGATCAGCTCGCTCTCTCCAAGTGAAGAGACTCGCTATGAGGACGCTTATCCAGTACCCTGTCCTCACCAATAAACTGTTCACCAGAAACAATAGGGAGAAAAGAGCAGGAATTTCCCACCCACTGACAAGTTTCTTCTGCCCAAAGCGTGGGTCCCTCCTGTTCCCAACTGTCTCCATAACAGGCTCCAGGAGCCCTGAAAAGGTTTTGGTGGAAATCTGCAGAAGAGGGTTTTTGTTTGTTGTTTTGGGTGGAACTAAGGATGGAGCGCAGGGCCTCATGAAGCTGGGCAAATGTCCTCCACTGACTACAGCCAGAGCTCCTGAGCCCCCACCAAAAGATGTGGGCAAGATTTCAAGAAGAAAAACAAACAAACAAACAAATAAAACAACCGAAAAACAAAACAAAAACCCAACCGGTAGATGTTTTTGTATAGGTCTGAAAGAAACAAATCCATAGCCCACGATCACTTTCATAGGTTATTTCCCATTTCACACAAAGGGCACAAACCCCAGCTCTCAGATATGACAAAGGTCACATGGAAACAGGCCACTAAAAGGCCAATTTGGGAGCCATGTTACAACAGCAAAGACCCAAGGGCTCAAGCACCATACCCTGACGACTTCCCACATCACTCCAGCTACATTCAATACTGAGTGAACAGCCTTCCTAGCAGACTCCTCAAATCCCAGGGAGTAATCGCAACCACGAATCAGACCATCACTGTCTGCCAAATGTTTTCCAAAGACTACTAGCACAGTGCAGAGCCCTCCTGCCTTGGCGAGCTAGGTTTTCAGGCAGGCCAGGGGCAGAGATGGGGTGAAAGGCCCATTCTAGACCCTAGCAAGAATTTTACCTGTTTCCACTGGGGGACGGGAGCAGGGCGACCCTGCTCAGGCGGGCAGCAGGACGGCTGGCTGACCCCACGCTCTTGTGTCGGCTGTGACACACACAGGCCACGTATGAGTGGGGACAGGGCATGGAGACAAAACAAAATAAAATACATTAAGGTAAGAGAAGATATAAAAAGGTACCTGTGGAGGACAGACATATATCCATAAACCGTGAGGTGGCAGATAGGCTAAGTTAACTCTTAGGAAGGTAAGCCAAGAAAGGAAAGATAGTAAGTAGCTTTCCCCAAACCAAGCACAAGTGCAAACACAGGAAAGGATAAAAATAGGGGTGGGGAGAGGAAAACAAGCTGTGAATCTTGTCACTATTTTCCCCAAACTGAATTCTCTGGGGTCTAGACTACTGTCTAATTTGGACAACTAATTCCCTTACAGATGAGGAAAGCAACCTTCTTGCAGAGACAACCTTCCACTGGGGGGCACTCTGGCTCCCTGGCGTGGACGGCTGGCAGAGCGCAGCAACCTCCACTGCTCCATACCATCCCTGCTGTGACACAACAGGAAAAGACTGGCTTGTGGAAGGTAACCCAAAACCAGGTATGAGAAGCAAGTTCATGGCTGCTTCCTGACCCTCGGGAGTATGGGGAAGAAAAAAGAGAACAGGCCCTGTCCTGATTCTCTCTCTCAGGTCACCAGGGAGCGTGCAACACATTTCAGAGAGATTTTCAAAATGCAAGCCCCTTCTTTTAAAGAGGCGTAGTGACATTTGCAGAGCAAGGGAAAGACAAGATGTGATGACACTCTAGGCTGAGTGCTGCCAGCCTCTGACATGTGACTTATGACTAAAGAAGTCTCCTAAACGGCTCACATTCCTGGAACAGGATCTTTGCTCACAGAGGCAAGAACGGAGACTTTCATATCTTATCCAAGATGAGAAGCAACTAAAACATCCACCATGCTACAGACAGGGAATAGCACAATGTATACACATTCTGAAGATACCTGTGAGCCGAGAAGACACAGGAGTGTGCCACGGTCAAAAACAAAAGGTGGAATCTAAGGAAGTGTCCTCAGAATGGGCTCCACCATGAAAACAAGAATGTCCTGGGGAAAAGTCCAGAAAGAAATGCGGCAAAAGTAACAGAATTATAGGTGCCTTGGTCAGCCCATTACACTTTTCAGATTTCCTTCAATATGCCAGAGTCTTTTTTCTTTTTTCAAGATGGTGTATCATCATACAGCCCAAGCTAGCCTTGAACTCACAATCTTCTTGCCTCAGTTTCCCAGGCACTACAATTACACCACCATGCCAGCCACATTTTTTCTTTGTAATTCAAGAATGCATGCGTGTGAACATATGTATGTGTTTAAAGTCATCCAGACGAATGATTTTTAGATCTTTCTACCGATTTTGGTCATAGACTCCTCAGACCTGAAGCTAATGCAACCCTGAATATGTAAGGTTCAGACAAGAGCAAGCCCGGACCACGAGCTCCTGGATCTGTGGCATGACTCATCACTGCATCAGTCTTCCTTGACATGCCATCTGGCCCATTTGGAAGCTGAGTTTACCTGTCTCCTTACGCCAGTGGACTGTGCAGGTGCATTCTCTTCGAACTTGGCCAGCAGCTGGGTTGCCATATATTTTACTTTGTTCTGGTTCCCGATGGCAGCATCCATCCGCCTGTCCGTCAGGGTGCTCACCAGGGTGGGTCTTTCTCCTCGATAGCTCCGGGGAGGCTCCTCCTGCCCAATAGAAAGCAGCCAAGAATTAGGATGGGTCACAGGGGAACCACTGGTGGTCTTCTCTCAATGTATGGGCAGGAACTGCACAGCAGCTTTAGGTTGCTTAACAGCACTCTGCAAAGTTGTGATGTGCAGAGTTAGCAAGGTCCTAGGATGCAGGACACCACCACAGGACACATGGACTTGGGCTAGCATCACCAGAGCTCAGCAAAGCCACTGTGCTTTGCCAAATGTGTGATTCCAGGGAGAGCACACGTGTGTACATATTCCTAACTAGTTTCTGGAAAGCGAAATAAAGGCAAATGCACACAGAGACTTTCATAACAGATGAATGTGTAAAGATCTAGCAACACCAATTTGAGAATTAATAGCTTAAACCAGGTGGCCAAGGAGATGTGTCAGTGGTTAAGAGTGCTTACTGCTCTTGCGGAGGACCCAGGTTCTATCCCCAGTACCCATAGGAGACAGCTTAAAACCATCTGTAACTCTAGTTCCAGGGAACCCCATGCCCTCTGACCTCCACAGGTACCTGCACACTGACGGTGCACATAAACTCACACAGGCACACAGACATACACATTAAAAACAAACAAACAAACAAACCCCAAACCCTTAAACCAGAGAGGATAATTCAGTGCTATCAGTCTCGACAAACCACAATTGATCTCACCTCCTCTGACTGACTGGTTTTCCTCCTCTTTCCTGCTCCATCCAAATCCTTTTCCTTTTTATCCTGCACCAAGAGAAGACACAAATGGCATTAGCCTGGTCACTTTGCTTTGCCATTAGCTCTGCAGCCACTATTACTGTGACACTGGTGTGCACACACCTTGGGAGAACGCTTCCGAGAGATGGTCTGTCCAAGCTTGCTCAGGAAGGAGATGGGCGATTTGGTGCTGGCTATCAGGACGGCTTTTTCCTCTGCATTCAGGTCCAAGGTGTCTGTGGACAGGAGTGGGCAATGTTTACCAAGGACAGTGCCACCAAGTCCTGGCCAGAACCGTGCTCCCTCAGAGGGGGTTGGCAAGAAGGATGCTCCCAGACTCTCATGGGTTACCGACTAAGACAGAGCATTCATACCCATGGGAAACGACAGAAAGGAAAAGCATACTTAGGTCTAGACACTTTCTCTTCCATCCACAGAACAAAACCAACCCCATTCTTTACAGTTCAGCTACAGCAACCCACACTTCTGCTCTGTAAGGTTGGACTCTACCGGTGACTATCACACTACAATGCTGAAGTTCAATTCTGATAAAGAAAACTTCAGGTTGGGGTGGAGGGTTGAGAGGTATGTCAGTTTGGGGGTACTGCAGAGGTCATGTTCTTAGTTGTGTCAGACAAGGGTTTCTCAATGAATAGGGCCACTCAGGGCTCAGGGTTTGTACTGCAAGAAATGCACATCCAGGTAGAAAAAGACACACGTGCTTATAAGGGTATGGGCTTGAAGACATTGTGGAGAGGAGGGCACCATTAACTGTGGATTCTAATTTATTATTATCTGGGGGGTACAATGTGTTGGGGTCAGAGGGCAGCTTTGGGGAGTCAGTTTCCTCCTCCTTCCTCTCTGTGGGCTCCAGGGACTGAGCTCAGCTGGTCAAGTTTGGTGATGTCTGGTGGTAAGCACCTTTAACCACTGAGCCCACCTAGCTGGCTGCAATTCTAATATTATACTCATAGCAATAGCAATTTTGAGAATAGTAATTAGGAACAATAATGAGTCACTAACATTATAATAATTCAGTGCTCACTTGTCATTCTGTACAAAACAGTATTATTATATCCATCACTCTTTTTACAAACAAGGAGACTGAAGGAAGTATAAGGAAATTCAGCAAACTGCCCAAGGCTGAAAAATGAAATGCTGGAACAAAACCCAGGGCAGACACTGTGGCCAACACTCTGAAGCACTGTGCTTACATGGCCTTAAGTGGCGGCGTCCTAGGTAGCTTTCACTGTCAACTTGACATGAGCTAGTGTCATCTAAGAGTAAAGTCTTGACTGAATAATTGCCTACATCAAACTGGCGGGGGTGGGGGGTGGGGGGATAGAGGGTTGGTGGGGGAGTGGGGGGGTGGTCCTGACTATTCACTGACATAGGAGGACCCAGCCCCACCGTAGGTGGCACTGTCCCTAGGCAGGTGGCACTGGGCTGTATAGCTGGTTAACCATGAGCCGGTGAGCAAATGAGCCAGACAGCAAGTCAGCAAACAGCATCCCTCCATGGCACCTGCCCTCAGTGCCAGACTGTTACCTCCAAGTGAACCCTCTGCTCCCCTAATTTGCTCCTGGTCAGAGTTTTTATCACAGGCAACAGAAAAGGTTGCAACGGCAATACTTTTTGTAGCCCTATGAGTGCTGGCTGAGGCAGCAGGCTGAGGACCACCGAAACATTTTGGGGAATCTCTAAGAAAGGTGTGAGGGAGGCCAGAGAGGGAGGAGTTACTGAGAACCCAGTAAAACCAGCATCACAGAGGCTGTGACAGGACCAAGCACCAGGAGACATCACTACAGAGCACCAACTGGAGAAATGTCAAGTCTACGGTATGAGAAACAAAGGCATAGGCATGCAGCTCCAGTGTGAGGTGCTTGTCTGATGTTCGTGAGACCCTGGGAGCAACCACATGTGTACACACATGCTCACGCGCGCGCACACACACACACGCACACACACACAGAAGAGAGAGAGAGAGAGAGAGTGAAAAAAGAAATAAAAGGTGAGAAACAAGGAAAGAACTTGGACTGGAAGAGTCTTTGCAAGGTTGCAGGGCCCTTTGGGCAGAGCTCTACAAAGAGAAGCCGCATTACAATGCACTTCCAAGTCCATGAGGAGCCACTCTGCAGAAGGGATGCGCCTGAGGTGGGGGGAGGTGACAGAGTCAGGGCAAAGAGCTCTGGACAGATCACTTTTGCATACTTATAGGTAAAGTGAGAACGGCTTTTACAAACAGAATCAGGTTAAGATCACAGGGCTGAGAAGGAATAAATGAAGGAAGGTTCTGGAGACTGCCCTGCTGACCAGGTAGCAGGAGGTCCTCACCGCTGGAGGAGAGTGAGTCCTTGAACATCTCGTAGAACTGTGTGAGGTACATCACCATGGACAGCTTGTCAGGCTCCGCCACTGATGCCATCTCCTTGCCTGTCATGATGGGAGAGATGCCCAGCTCCTTCTCAGCAATGTCAAAGGCTAGCTGGTTATTCTTTTCCACATTCTGCTCATCCAAAGAGTCAAAGTCTCTGAGAAGCAAGACAACAAGAAGTGGATCAAGTTGGGCTGATAGCCCTCAAACCAGAACAGTACTGTGATCCACGGCCATCTCCGTCCCTGGGCTAATGTCCAGGGAGTTGGGCGTCATCCCTGGATGAGAGGGCAGATGGGCTTTTCTTGACCCCATTCTTCCCTTCTGACTAAGGAAATGCACAACACCTTTGGGGGAAATGACTTAGAGATCTACCCAGCAAGACAAATGAGGAGAGGGTGGAGGAAGTGTGGGGAGAGGCAACCTGCATTTTCCATGGACACCAACTTCTTACTATAATGTAAGTTCAGGACGGGAACTGCAAGCCTGTCCACACATAGGAAACTAATGTCCGGCAGTGACACGCCCTTGTCAGTGTAGAGTTTCCAATGTCCTGGGACTGCTGGTAAATTTTACTAAGCTTTCTCTTGAAGGGAAATTCTAAAAGCTTCTTCAAAAGGTGTTTCCACTGCTGAATCTCCTGAGTTTTCCCAGCATCTCCATTCATAAACACCCTCCCCAGGTCTTGGGCTCTTGCTACTCAGAGGAGGCTGGGTTTCTCTCTCTCCTCTCTCTCTCTCTCTCTCTCTCTCTCTCTCTCTCTCTGTCAACTTCACCTTCACAGTCTCAGCATCCCTTGTTTTGTGTTAACCTACTGACCTCATGGATTGTTTTTTCCCATTTAAAACAAATGATTTTTCTCTTAGCTTAAGCCTATTAAACCAAGACCATTCATCCCGAACACAGTCCAAACAGTGCTCAATCACACACCCATGGCTTTCTGGCCTTCTTCAGGCCACCTCAGGGCGTTCTAACAGGACCCTCTTCCTACACTCCACCCCAGGCCTCACCACTTCTCGCCTTGCTCGCCTTCCCTTTGAGATGGAAATGGCTGTCTCACTGCGAGCTTCAGCAACCCTGTCATACCACATGGCTGTGCTCCCTCCCCATCCCACTTCTCAAAACATTGTTTTCATTTACTTTTTTTTTCCCTTTTAACCAACTTTTGTATGGGCACGAGAGGTCGTTTACTTTATATCAGAAATTCACCCCTTTTTTAAAATTTTGCCTGGGAACTGAACCTAAAGCCCGGGTTCTGCTAGGCAAAGGCTACACTCCCACCTCTCCATATTTATTTATTTTTAGGAGACAGTTTCGGTCTGAAACTCAACTCTCCTGCTTAAGCCACCCAAGACTGGGATGGCAGGCATGCCTGGCTACAGCTGTTTTGCTGTGTGATAACTTGGATCAAACCTAGAGCCTCACACATGGTCCTCACTGTTAATCTACACCCTTAGAGGCTGGTTTTGTCACCTCTTGCATCGTTAGCTTGCTAATATCACAAAATAAGGGGCTATGTCTCTTAGGATTTCCTTAACCAAGGATTAAAATGAAGGGCAAAGCCAGGGCCCCTGTGTGGATCTAATGATAAAAAAGAAGGCAGCCAAGAAAATCCACCAGGTTCTGCTGCTGTCTCTGAATGTTTGGCTTCCATAGTAACAAATGTCTGGGGTGCGGTCTGAGTGCTTTGTTCACAGGGCTGACCCAAGGCCACTCTGTACTTATTCTGTAGATAGAGGAGTCAGAACTAGGTATTAGAGGGACAGTAGGTAAGATGACGTCTCATGAAGCTCACGAGCATTCTTGCAAAAAGTATAATCTTCAACAGAGAAAAATCCCCAAGACCACCATAAATCAGGTACGTATCTATTGTTTCCTGTTGGGCTGAGCTAGCCAAATGTTCTAGCCAGGCTTCCCTTGTGATCAATAGCATCAGAGAGCGAGCTAGCCAAAAACGAAGAGTTCAACGAGGGGCCAATAAACAGAGTTTTCCTCTGTGCAAAGTTAACAGGCCCAGGTGGGTGTTAAAACAAGTTTTTGACCTTCAGAATGCTATGACTTTTAAAGCTAACTTTTTGGGATTGAGTTTTAAATATAAATAAGTCAAAGTCCTGGCCTTCTAAAGAAAGCATTTTATCATGCAACCCATACTAGAAAAAAGCATAAAATTTGCATAAGGGGCTCTGAGATCCTTGGTGAATATAAAATGAAACACCATATTGGTCATAACTTACATTAGATCAGGGCGGTATCTGTGGATGATTGCACACAGGGCCAGGCCGCTTTTCCAAGACATAGTGAGATCTGTCACATTCACCCCTGCATAGCCATCTGTCTGCCTTTGGCACCATCCCAGAAGTTTGCTTGAACGAGCTACAGACTCTAAAACAATAAAAATAATTATTGAAGTGTGCTTACCTAGTAACGCTGACATAGCATCTGCTTTGCAGCACACATATCCAGTTTAAAAAATTATTGAGGGTGGGGACAAAATGTCAGGGCTATTTTTGGAAGAAAGCAGTAAGGCCTAAGCTTATGTCATTGGTATCATGATGTACAATTTCAGGCACCAAGCTATCCAATTCCAGGGTCAATGCCCCAGACAGATACCTACAACCCCAGGACGGTGACAAGGACCTGCCACATGGGACCCATGTTCCAGCAGCACTCCTGGAGACAAGTGGATGGCAAAGTGCCACCTACTGAGCTGATACCTCACTGGCAACAGAGTCAAGATGTCCCTGGAGAGTTGCCTGGCAACAGGCTGAGGAAGCCTTTTCCTCCACAGCAACACCCAGGAGATTAGATTAGCAAAGTTTTCCACTGTGGTACCTTAAACCAAAAGCAAACAAAGCCTTCGACTCACTTCCTAAGGTCCTGACTGAGTGCCAAGTGAAGAGACTGTAGGGAGACGAGAAGGACAAATACTCCAGACCAGAACCATTCCCTAGACCCATATTAGCAACCTGTGTTCTAAGCGATCATATGCGGAAACGACGACAAGGCAAAGACAGATGCTGTCTGACTGGCTGACATGTCTTCATCATGAAAGAGATGCAAGGAACACTAATGTGCGTTCGAGCAGTCTGTTCCCGGCCCACGGCAGCTGGGGTTTAGCTTTATTAAGTCACTTGGCAATTTGTGAGTAGATGATTTAAAAAACACCTATGACAAGAGCCTTGCGAAGTCTTTCACGGTCTGAAACAACAAATGAAGCAGTTCTAGCGCCGTCTCTCGCTCTGCTATGACCCACTTGGGTGTTTCCCAGGTCTGCCCATCCTGCCCGCTCCATGTCCATCAGGCAACCGCAGCAGCAAGTGGACACGGTGACGGTGAGAGACACTCTCGCCAGGCAGTGGTGGCGCACACCTTTGATGCCAGCACTCAGGAGGCAGAGGCAGGCAGATCTACAAAGTGGTCTACAGAGTGAGTTCCAGGACAGTCTCCAAAGGGAAAAAAAAAAAAAAAAAAAAAAAGCGAGAGAGAGAGGGAGGGAGAGGGAGATAGGGAGAGAGAGAGAGAGAGATTGTCTGCTCTCAAGGGAGGGGCTGACACCCCAGGGGAGAACGATACAAACTGCCTGCTGGCTCGCGTCTACCCTGACATCTCACGACCATGTTATTAAACTCAGGCCTTTTCAGTCTCCTCACCCCCCCCCCCCAATCTCCTTGTTTGGATCGACGCAGCAAAAGCACAAGTGCCTACCTGGTACCTCTCAGGACAATGAACTGTCCACGCCCATCCACTGTGGTGCCTTCCGACTTTTAGTATTAATAACCACGACAAAACTGTTGTTTCCGGCCACAGCATGCCAAGCACTGTGGCAAGTCCTAAGCCGGAGACCTCATGACGGCAACCCAAGAGCAGCGCTGTTCCTCTCAGACCAAAGACAAGGATATGAGGTTCTAACTAATCTGCTCGAGGCCACACGCTTTGCAGACAGCACAGTTTGGACTGGGTGCTACTGTGTCTGGCCCCAAAGTGACCCAATGCCTCAGACCCAGATCCTGGCCTTTACCATAGACTGACTACTGAACTCTTTCCTAAACAGCCTCCCTGCACCTACTCAGGCTGCTGTAATGCACCCGACCACTTGTACTCACCCAATGTCACTCTCCAGAGGCCCTTCAACACACAAAACACAGACCGGCTTTCAAGTTTGCCACAGCATTAAGACTGCTGTCTCAGGGCCCAGCTAAAAGGCCACCATGTGTTCTCTCCCGAAACTTGAGTGTATGTACGGGTACCCAGGAGCCTGTGTGCACTGCATTCATTCTCCAGGACCTGTAACTGGAGGACACAGTCCTCCAAGTGTAAACCATTGCTATCTTCATCAATACAGCTGTGATTAGTAGCAAGAGACCCTTAAGGTCAGGGCTCTGATATTCCCTCACAGGACGGAAACACCTCCCTCTCCGCTTCACACAGTCTCAGCAGGCGCTGGAGCCTAGAGAAGGCAGAGGGCTAACTGAAGGGACGACTCCGTCCACACAGCTGTGGGGAAATCATCATCTATATGGGAGTGAAATGTCAGTGATTGGACATTTGCGGTCACCCATGTTCCCTGCTCACAGGTTCACAGAGCTGCGGACCCGTAGCTTCTGTCTACTGTTGGTTCCCTATCTGGGACAAACAGACATTTGTTTATATCTCCCTGGGAGAAGTTCAAGACGCAATAATTTACCTCTGCACTCTTATACTACCTTAGACCACAATACTTTTCTGTGGGTGTGAGTGTCGTTTTGTGCATCCCAGAAAGTGCAAGCAACATCCCCGAGTTCTATCCACTAGAAGCTGCTCACAAACCTACCCCAGTCATGACATAAAAATATACCCTGGCAGCAACCTAACATCACCAGAGGGTAAAACCACTGGCTACAGCCCAGGGCCTTTGATAGCAAGCACTGTGGTCAAGCAACGGCTTGATGGATGAGTGCAGCCTTCTTTAAAAAGGTTAGACCATTGTTGGAGCTCACCATTGCGAGTCAGCTTGGGAGTGGTTCGGGAATTCACCAGGTTCTCCATTTCCAGATGAATATCTTTTGTTTCTCCGCTATCATATAAATGGCGCACCTGGCAGAAAGTTGAAAGGTTGAAAAGGAAAATCAAATCCCGAATAACAAACTCCCACTTCAAAGAAGCAAGCTGGTAAAGTCTACACACTTATTATCTTTACTTCCTGGCAGTGCTGGTTGGCTGAGGTTTGGATCTGGCATGACTAAGCGGAGCTACACGCCCATGGTCAAGCTTTGACAGAATCCACACGATGACCTTAGAGCTTTAGTGGCATGAAGTTTTGGAGACACACAGAACCCGGACACAAGCAGCTGTACTGAAAGTAAGGCAGTTGGCCATGGCTGTCCCTGTGATCTGGGCTGCCCACCTTCCATGTATGTACAAACACTGTTCAAACACATACAGGAAGCCTGTGGACATCGGGCAGAAGGCAAAGAAGAAACTCCTCCAGGATAGAGACAAGCGTGTGAAGGAGGCTGCTTCCTTGTGAGTCCTGCTCCCCGGGACTGCTGGGCTTTTTAGATATCACAAGAAAGGTGGCTTTATAGGTTCTAAAAAAAGTCAGTACAGCATCGAGGCTAACACCAACAGCAATGCCTTCTACTTCGAGAGTCTTAACCTTTCAAAGCCCTTTCGAGAGAACAATTGTGTTTGCCTGACAATGATGTTGTGTAGGCAGAGGTCACCAACTACACTTCTCAGGTGAAAAACAGGTTCAGAGAAAGAGAAACCTGGCTGAGTCTCAGCTGATGGGTGGTGATGCTGTCAGTGACATCACCCACCTGACTACTGAACCACAGGGTACCCTTTGCCCTACTCTGTGTGGTCTGAATTAGGAGATGAAGGGTGGAGTTCTAGGTCTTCCGTTTTTGTTATTTCTGATCTTCTATAAGTCATTAAAAAACTCTACTTGGCCAGACATGGTGGCTCACAATTGTATCGCCAGCTCCCAGGAAGCTGATTCAAGAGGATCATCGTGAGTTCAAAGCCAGCCTGGGCTATGAAGTAACTCCAAGTGTGCTTGGCTCACAGCACATTCAAGTCTCCCCACCTCCACCCCAAACTCAAAACAACCGACCAACCAATAAAGAAAGAGAAGGAAGGACTGACCCTCTGTGCCCCAGCTGCTGACTGTGGTAATGGGAAGTAATACCTACTTTCAATAACACAGAGACATCAACTTGGATTACTTAGTGTGTGCTGTATAATAACAAACAGAGCTACACACATTCCTGTTGGAATATATACTGTATAATAACAAACACAGTTATACATATTCCTGTTGGAATATATACTGCATAATAACAAACACAGTTATACATATTCCTGTTGGAATACATACTGTATAAAAACAAATACAGTTATACACATTCCTGTTGGGATATATACTGTATAACAAACACAGTTATACACATTCCTGTTGGGATATTTATACACATTCCTATTGGGATATATACTGTATAAAAACAAATAGTTGTACACATTCCTATCTGGTCTATTGACCAGAATTATGAGCATCCAAAACATGGGCCCAGGAGGATGTAACTACAAGAAGGCTCTTACCTGGCTTGGCCTGAGGAAGTTGATGTTAATATTGGGGTACCTAGTGACGGGGTCGATGCTATATTGGCTGAAGTTTTTGCTCACGTTCTCAGGGGTGGTCTGAGGCAGCAACCTATAAATGCTTTCCCTGAAATGACACACGACAGTGTGTTCACATGCAGTGACATACAACAGTGTGCTAGCACCAAATTACCCGCCACATTAGCCAGACTGTCGTCCCTGATGAATCTATCTAATCAAATCGATCTCAGCTCTTCCTTCCAGACCCAGAACTCAGTGACTCCATGGACCTGGACCAGGGGAAGCGCTGAAGGGAAGATCAGGGACAATGCTGTGGGTGGTGGCAAACACCGCTAATTTAGAAAGCTGTTATGTAGTGAGCAAATATTAACTATGATTTTTAAAGAAATTAAAAAGGAACCTATGATCAGCTTGTGTGAGGTTACTGGAATGCAAAGTTTGTCTTGTTCTGAGCCCTATACCCATGAAGTCATCTTTACTAAACCTTCCTCTCAACAAAATATTTCATCTAAAGGATGAAGGTATTCTAAAACACCTTCTCTGGCTGTTTTTTTATGTCAACTTGACACAAGCTAGAGTCATCTAAGAGCAATGAGTCTCAATTAAGAAAATGCCTCTAATAAGATCAGGCTATGGGTAAACCTGTAAGGCACTTTCTTACTCAGTGATTGATGGGGGGGAGCCCATTGTGGATGGTGCCACCTCTGGACTGGCGGTTCTATAAGAAACCAGAAAGGTCTGTGTATTCCTCATCGAGTCTGTCAGCACTATGGTTACTTCCCCAAAGGTCACGAGCTAGAAATCTGGATTCCAGCATGGTGATAGTGAGGTAGTGGATATGGTAGTTCACACCTACAATTCTAGCACATGGGACATTCAGGCAGGAGAATACTTTTGAGTTCCAGGGAAGCTAGGACTACATAGTGAGCACTAAGCTAGCCTGGGGTACAGAGTGAGTCTCTTATCTCAAAACACAAAGCAAAGAAAAACTAAGCTTTACCATTACATCCAGATGCGTGCCTTACATTAAAGATTTAAAATGACAAAGTGTACTGTCTGGTTTTTATGTCATTTGACACAAGCTAGAGTCACCTAAGAGCAGTGAATCTCAATTAAGAAAATGCCTCTAATGAGATCAGGCTGTAGGCAAGCCTGTAGGACATTTTCTTAGTTAGTGATTGATGTGGGAGGGCCCAGCCTGTTGTGAGTAGTGCAATCCCTGGGCTGGTGGTTCTATAAGAAAGCAGGCTGAGCAGACTAGAAGAGCAAGCCTGTATAAGCAGCACCCCTCTATGGCTTCTGCATCAACTCCTGCCTCCAGATTCCTACCCTGCTTGAGTTCCTGTCCTGACTTTGATGATGATCAGTGATGTGGAAGTATAAGCCAAGTAAACCCTTTCCTCCCCAAAGCACTGGCCATGGTGTCTCATCACAGTAATAGTAACCCTAAGACAGAAGTTGGGACCAGGAGTGGGGTGTTGTGACCAGCCTGACTATGCTGATTTTGGGGGAAGTGTAGAAGACTTTGGAACTCTAAATTAGGAAAGCAGCTGGACACTGTAAGCACGGTTTAACAGGCCATCCTAGTAGGAGCTTAGAAGACAATAATTGAGCAGAGCTATGCAGACTATGGAGGCCCAACTCGAGAGGTTTCAGAGGGGAACAATATTAGCAACTAAAAGTCATTCTTGTGATATTTTGGCAAAAAGAAAGAGAGTAAGAAAAAAAAAAGTGGTTGCTTTGCCCCAATCCTAAGAATCTGCCTGGCGCTAAACTGAAGAGTTCAGAACTAATTTTATTGGCAAAAGAGATTTCAAGGTAGCCTAATATTAACTCTGTCACATGGTTATTAGTAACTATTGTGATACAGGTCTACAATGAAAGAAAACAACAGGGCAAAAGACGTACAAGATACACAGTTCAAGCAGAAAAGGAGCACAAGAAAATTTAATGCTGGCACCAGGGCTTGTGCTAAAAGAGATAGAGAGGCCTGGTGTGAAATGGTAAAAAGAGAGGGGTACCCTCAGGACACCCACCCCACCCAGCTATCCCTGCAGGTAACCAAAGCAAAAGGCCTAAGAGATTTTCTGCTCCTAAAAGGTAACAAGTCAAAATTTATGCAAATGTATTTCAAGGAGGGGCCAGGCTAGATCCCAAGTGGGCAGCCAAACTTGGAAATACCAGCTGCAGGGCTCAGGTTTTAGACTCTATAAGTTTAGAGTCACAAGGGCAGCAGTAAAGGTGTCTCAGAATCTTCCGCTTAGGTTAAGGAGTGCTGTTGAGGCCAGGCTAAAGCAGGGAGTCCGTGCTTGGAGGCCCCAGGGGCCACCTGAAAGTGTAAAAGTGAGGCCTGCATTGTGCTGAAAAGCCCAGGATGCTGGGTTGACAGAACCTTGGAATGTCTGCCAGGGAGAGTGGCACACAGGGATTGGAACCAGCAGTGTGTTGCAGGCAGCAAACTTTTTGTTCTATAAGCCGCCTCGGTCACAACAATAGAAAAGTAATACTATCAATTATCAGAGAATAGTATCAGTTATCAGTTTCATCTAGAAAATCTCACATTTCTGTTTCTGCTGGTCAGGGTAAAGAGTAAGTAAATCCTAGTGTCCCTGCCTCATTTACAATCATCTGCTTCCAAACATCTGACATCCAGGGCTTCAAGAAATGTTTACCAGCATCCTTGGGTTTCCATCAGCTACTCCTAACAACTTGTTCCCACTGCTAGCATGTCCCACTGCCACGCTGGCTTATGGGGCATGGGTACCACTGTGCTGCTGCTGTGCATCTGCTCATGTAATTGTCAGGAAAGAATCAGGACCAGTCGGTGGTGCAAAGAGATGCAGACCCCACATGCCAGCAGTAGATTCATCTGAAGAGAGTTATGAGAAGAGCTGCTTGGGCAGATCGCCTTGAGATTTCTGTGATTTTATAAGACAGTGCCTTGTCTTTCTCTACTTGGACATGAAAGCGTCTTTTAGTAAGAACAAATGAATAAGAGGAGGAAGAACTTGCACTTGGCTGAGGAGTGAGCAGGCCAACTCCCCAGTCCTGCAGGAGGCACCCATGGCTTCTCCCCATTACCTCTCTGCCAGGACTTCCAAGGGGCTGGTGCCCAGAGACCAGCTTCGTACCATCCAGGCGGAGTCCATAGCAGCCAGAAAGCCCCGGGCTATTCCTGTTCCCATTGGCCAGAAAGGCTGCAAAGGAGATACACACAGAGTTAAAGTAACTCCGCTATTAAAAGAGGGAAGGGAACCAGTGTCCCAGGGGCCCACCGCCACTTCCCTCCTTCTCAGTACAATTCTTGTAAGGGAATCCAGTCTAACTCGTCATTATTTCCTCTTTACCACTTAGTTCTCTCTCCCCTTTAGTACTCACCTCCAGGAGGCTGTCCCCAACCAGAGCTACTAGTAGCTGGTGTCCATTCTGTTCCCGTACCAAGGCAGCGTTTTCAGAGGCGTACATACAGGTAAAGTCAAACATGGCCACATCAGGCTGCCCGTAGTGATTGATGGCAAAATCCAGAGAAGGCAGTTGCTGCTGGGTAGAGAAGTCTGCAGCCTCCCGGGCATAGTTCAGCAGGGCCTCTTGGTCCACATTCTCCCGGGAAAGTAACAGTTCCGTGTCTGTGTAGTCCTGTCCAGGAACAGCAAAGGCCAAGCTGGAGTAGCCCAAGTGAGGATGCTAGAATCCCACACTGAACATCAAACATGACCTCATCTCCTGGCGTTTTCCTTCCTAAGGTGTTTTTTTACATTCCTAAGCCAAATCTTTTATACCGATTACAAAGAACAGGGATCAGGGTGGTTGGGGGTGTTGGTTACGAGTGAATCAACTTTGCTGCCTAAATGGACCTGGCTTTCCCACTCACTAGCAGCAAAGCTCATCTAGCTCAGAGCTGTTACAATTATCAAATACAATAGCCACATAACAGCACCGTATAAACTGAAAAGACATTTTAGAGTTTATGGTACTTCCTATCGTCGCTTTAACCTGGGTGTCTGATGGCTTTCGGCAGCAAGAAATTCAGACTTATCACACCGAAAGGGAACCTGAAAACTTTAGCGCAGGGGTAGCGCAGTGTGGAGCAACAGCAGGTCCAGGATGATGACAGACACACTGAAAATGAACTAGAGATTTCTAAATCATACAGAGGGTTCTGCAAGGCTCCATGAAAATCCACCGTCACACAAAAAGAACAACAGCACGCACAGGGCTTCCCATGAAGGGAACTGAGACCCTTCCTCTGCTTTGGAGGTTCCTGTGCACTGAGTCAAGGCTACTCCCCTAAAGTTGGGCCTGTGGGTTCCAAGTGCCCCTAATGGGACTCAGTGACAACTGTAAGATGTCAAAAGCTCAAACACAAACACTCAAGTTGGTCCTGGAAATACTGTTTGTTCAATGTTAAGTGGCCACAATGGCTTTAGTTCAGTAGGGCATAAACCTCTTACACTACAAAAAATATAGGAGCAAAGTAAATCATGCCTCAGCATTCCAGACTGTTCTTATTCAATTTTAAGTGAGAACCCAGATCTGCATGGATGGCTGGTCTGAGTTTTGAGTCTGAGTCCTCAGGCATCCTAATTGCTATGATAACAGCAACAGAAGAGCCCCAGATAATGAACCAGCCAGCTTTATAAAACATCCAGCCCAACACGCGGTGCTTTTGTTTGGCAGGGAACTCTGTACCAAGAGCCTTGTCCTGCTGCTCTCTATGCACCACAGGGCTGCCGTGCTGAGAGACAGACATGAGGTTCACGGTGGAAAGGGGACTTTGTGTCACAAGCGCGTGCCTGTCCGCTCACACCCCAGTCTGCTGTAGATAAAGCAATAGTGTGACTCATTCTAAGGGGCCTGATGTGTTACCATCCTGCAGACACACAGAGCTCCCTAAGAGCCGGCTCTGAGGCTGGTGGGAACAACACGGGGCCAAGTCAGCACATTTGAGACCTCTTCTGTCCATTCATCACACAGAGACAGTAATTCTCACATCAGATCTGTGAGACCGTGTGAGACAGCAGCCACGCTCCTTCAGGGACCATGCAGCCTGTGATTTAGATTTCAGGCCATCAGCTCAGGGTAGAGCATACAATTAATCACCCAGGAAAAGGGCTGAGATGGAACTGGCTAAGGATGGACACCAGGCCTTTGCTGTTAGTTAGAAAGAGCCTTAAATATACCCCGGTCTAGCCAGGTTGGTGTTGCCCAGATCGTTAGTAACATGTTGTAAAACCTGAGTGACAGTCAAGCTGTTGTAAACACCATGGGCTGCTTCTTGGGTCAACACTTGTCAAATAAAGAGGACCCATTAATGTGGGGCCTGGTGGTGCAGGCATATAATCTCTGTTACTCAGAGGCTAAGGGAGAATGACTACACTTTCAAGGCTTGCCTGGGGCTATGGGGTTATTTCAAGGCCAGCCTGAGCCACTTAGTAAGAGCCTGTCACAAAAGAATAGTTTTTTTTTTTTTTTTCCCCAAAGAAAGTCCAGGGGTGTAGCTCAGTGGCAGAGTTCTTGCTAGCACACACAAGGCCCTTGGCTCAGTCCCCATTACTGTGGTTGGGAAACGGTAGGTGTGGGCCAGTGTACTGGTCAATGATTGTCATGTATGGAATTCACTGTAATTGTAAATCAGGTTACCTAAAGTTAAACTAGCTAAATATGCAGGACTTGATGTCTGACACTTGTTCTAGAGTGATCCAAGAGCAGGAGAGGGGGGAGAGGAAGGGATTGGGATTATTGAAACAATCTGACCACGTTGGTAACTGTTAAAGCTAATCATAATCATGACCACATAGGTCCATTCTACCCTCTTCCTTCTGTTTGTAGTTTCAATTTTCCAAAACAAAAATATTTTTAAGTTAAACTAGTAAATAGCATGAGTGCCCAGAGGTGCTCAGTGTCATTTCTATTCCCTTTCAGGGAAAACCCATCAGACTAAAATTCTTAGTGATCCTATCAAGCAGTTCAACAAAGATGCTGCCTGGAAGAAATCCATTGCTCACATGCAGTATCACCCCTTTCTCCAGTAAACTCTGCTTTTTGGCCGTCATCACAAAGTAGTGTGTGTCATCTTTGTAATAGACGATGTTCTCTAAGTCAATACCTGCAACAGAAGACAGACACGTGAGAATCATGGAGACTGGGACACAGGGGATCCACAAGGCTGGGCTGGGGTCTCACAGAAAAGGGCTGAAGAGTGCCGGACATGAAAGCTGTGTAGGCTCAGAGCCTCCCAGCCTGCACAGCGCACGGAAATCACAAGGCTTGCTTTCCTTTGTGCTGCATTAACTCACTCAGTATCCTAGGTTACCCACGACCGCCACTAACCAAAACATGATACGGGAAAAGCAAAGCAAAGGCCAATCTACAAGAGGGGATGAGTCAGGTACCAGGTAAAACCTCTGATCATCAACAAGGAAGCTGGAGGCATCTCCTAGATTCAGGATAGATACCTGAATATATAGAGGGAAATAGTGAATCTTTTTTATTCAGTGAACCTGCAAGATACATGGAATGGAAAGAAATCAAGTTCTGGGAAACAAAATGAAGACACTTTTTTTGTGTCATGGCAGCAGAATAACTCAGTCCACCAGAAACAGTCACACACAATCCATTCCTTCCCGGCAATGGTTGCCAGCGAGCTCAGATGACCTCAGAGAAAGCCAACGGTGATAGCATAGGTCAATGTCAACGAAACCAGAGCTGCCAGTGGGCAGCCTGCTCATCCGGCAGAGAGCCTGGCTCGTAGAGCAGGGGAAGGAGCTGGGGATGAGTTGACAGAAGGTAAAAGCAACAACAAACCCCAGGGCAGCCTGGTCACTGTGCTGAGGACGACACATGACAGCAGCGTGTGGAAACGTGCTAAGAACAAAGGATGGGGGTGGATAAGAACAGAAGACAAAGGACATAGCAGGGACAGCCACGGCCACCCACACCAACAGCCTCTGGGCTCTCGAGGCATTGACACCAACCTGTGGCTTCTCTCAGTTCCTGGAAAAATTTTTGGTTAAATATAAAAGCCACACCGCTGATCTCCTCTACTTTGGCCTCTGCGGTTGTATTTCGGTTAATAAAATTTGCCGTAATGGCAATGGCTAGCTTGCCACGGAATTCTTTCCGACGAAATCCTGGAGGGAAAAAGAGAGAAGGAATAAGAACTTCAAATGGGGGAGGGGGTTCAGAGTCAGGCAAAGTAGGCAACTCACCTAACAGGGATAGAATAATTCAAGAAGGAAGGCCCCTCCCACACACATCATGGACAATGTGAAATCCATCTGACCAAATTACTGCTCAGTACCAGCGGTTACCCTTAAAATGGAGGGGTGCTATGTGCCTGGCACATTTGTGCATAGACTAAAAGCTGTGGTACCAATAGCTTGTGTCCTAGTGCTCTGTGGGAAATATCCCGAGCAGGCACTGACTGGGCAGCACACATGCACATTCTTAGGGCTGTGGTCTCTGGGAACATGTCAGCCTCCAATCTGTGATGGGCCAGACAAGGGAGAATGGGCCAAAGCCAGTACCTTCCAGGGTGTTTCTACGCCCATCTCCACCAATGATCACTTCAAACTCATACTCTGATACAGGATGAGTCTTGGGGTGTACCAATGCTCGCCATCCTATCCCTGTGGACCAAAAGCAAAATGAAGGTCACAGAGGAAGCCATACTCAGACCACATGGATCACATGACATCTTAGCCCAGAGTACTACATGTTATAGAATAAAGGCCAGATTCATGCAGAAAGTTTTGACAAGAGCTCACAAAGACACTTTCTTTACCTTTGCATTTGCTACAATACAAATGCCTGCCACGCCCAACATCACGTCAAAGGCCTCTTGGGTAAGCCAAAAGTTCTCAAAAGCCCAGGCTTCGTGAACAAAGCCCCTTTAGTCAGCTCTGAAAACCACCTGCGAGTCCTTCTGGTTCCTCCCATGATCTCATCTGTTCTCACCCACTCAAGTGCCCTCACGCCTTCCTCTGTCCAGTCCGACTCACGCTCATTCTCTTGGTCCTCAGGAGGTTGAACGAGTCCTTGGAATTCCACATTGACATGGATTTCGATGCCTAAGATCAAGGCTACTTTCAAGAGGATTAGCTGGAGCTGACGGATACCTAGAAGAACATGAAGATTTTGATGGTAAGGGGACAGGAGAGCCCTATGGTGTCTACCCTCAGGCTCCCACCCATCAGTGTCTGCTGTCGTAGCAAAGGCATGTCTCAGAAGTTCTCTTTCTCCATGTTGTAAAGGTAACATCAAACAGTGGAACAAACATTCTGAATATACTAGGCCACCCTACTTCTGGAGCCAGGTATTCCAAATAACCTGATGACAGAGAGGTCCTGTGAGAGCCACTGTTATCAGAGCAGCCACAGTCTTCAGAGGCACCCACTTACTACAAGCACAGGTGAGGTGTACTCATAGGTAGCATGCCACAGCATCCACCTTCCATTCTAACATCCTACTAACCAAACATGTTTCTACCAGATACATAAAAGAAAGCACAGCCCCATCCTATCTCTAATCGTTTCCCACCACCAGCGACTTACAGTCGTGGAAACTGAGGTCCAAAAGGACTGAATCCTGCTCATGATCACAGTAATACATGTATCTATCTGATGCTTAGTGAATTCCTACTAGATCTGGCATCGACGACAGGTTACAGTGAGACAGAAATCCTGTCCCTGGTCTAAGATATCTCTGCCCTAAGATATTTCTGCCACAGAAAAAGACCACAAATCCAGTTAGTCAACAACCCTAGGGTCTCTCTAAGGTCAAATTTACCTGCAGCTTGTGACTAAAGAGCTATGAGCACGTGCAAATCCTCTGTTAAGTCCTTCTGGTTACTCTGCTCAGCTGACCATATCCTCGCCCTTCTGAGTCACACTTCCAAAGACTCACTGAGACCCATGCTAGCACACAGTTTATTTCTGCAGACAACTGTGGGTTCCAAGATGCTTTACAAATTACAGCCTGGCAGATGGGCCCGAGCACTTCCTCTTGCCAGTGGAATGTGGCAGCCGCCAGCTAGTGTTGGATAAATTGGTATAACCACTTCAAACAGCGAAAGATCTAATGGCTGAATGTATTTCCAGGTCACATATGGAGGAGCTCAGAACAAACACTACTTACTAACACTTCCCTAGACTAATTAATGACAGTAAAAAGACTTCTCCAGCTTGATGATGCAGACACTGTTCCAAACTGGTTTCAGATACGCCACTTCATGAAAACAAGATCATCCTAAGAAAAATACAAGGCTCTGACTTCATGGGAACACAGACTCTCGCTGCAGACTTGGCATTTGTGTCCAAGCTATGATTATTTGTGTGTGGGTTTCCACGTCTGTGTCCCCATGGCACTATTTTCCTGCATCAGTAGAGGGTATGCAAGATCTCAACACAGAACCTAAGCCTGTGTATTCCTTCCACTGAACTAAGAACCACCAGAGGGTTGAAATCCAAACTGTCTACCTTATTTCCGGTGCCTACCCTTACCCCTCCACTGAACTACCATGGTCACCCAGCAAGAGTACTAGGCCCAATTAACAATCCTGTGTGGGGTGGGGGGGGGGGTAGGGGTTTCTGTGTATCCCTGGCTCTTCTGGAATTCACAGTAGACTAGGCTAGCCTTGAACTCAGAGATCTATCTGCTTTTGACTCCTGAGTTCTGGGATTAAAGGCATGAATCACCATGCCTAGCCCCTAAGAATTTGTAAACGAAACTCTCTTTTTTGTACAAAAGACCCACTTGGGGTTAAGAAGCCTAGGTTACAGAACACTGGTGGCAGGAATATATCCTGGCTGAGGAGGAATTCCTCAGGTAGCCTACCTATCTCTGTCTACTGAACATGGAGCAGGAAGAGTGGGTGGTACTCACTGATGTGGTCGATGGCTCCAGCACAGAACTTGCCGTAGAATTTCTTGGCACCCAGACCTCGAAGATCATGTATGGTGAAGGGCCAGAGATGCAAGACATTGTTTCGGGAGAAGGCATCTCGCTTCTCAATAACGACTACCTTGGCTCCCAATAAGGACAAGTCGATGGCTGTGCGGAGACCACAGGGGCCAGCTCCAATGATGAGACACTAGAAAACAGGTGCTTTCAGGGCAGAGACCACACCTTTCAAAACACACTTCTTATAACTATCACTCCTAGGGCCATATTGCCTTCAGGAGTGAGACACCTGAAGCCTGCCTAGGAGAGCACAGGCCCTTGTAATGGCTTGAAGGAAGAACTCATGACTGCTCTGCACAGAGAAGACCAAACCCTACCATGTTTGCCTGGACCAGCCTAGAGGACCTGCAGACAGCAAGGTCATCATCTCAACAAACATGAAAAATCACATCTCATCTTCCATCAAAACAGGACCCTTAGGAAGTTCCTAAGTCATAGGCAGATTTCTGTTTAAATGTAAGATTAGTCACATCCCAGCAATCGAGTCTAGGTCTACCATGCAACTTTCAAGACCCAAAGATTCATGTATGGAAAAATTTGTTCTTTTTTTAATATTTGTTTATTTATTTTATGTGTGAATATGTGAGCCTGAGTGTGTGTATGTGAGCCTGAGTGTATGTGTGTGAATCTTAGTGTGTGTATATTAGCCTGAGTCTATGTGTAAGAGTCTGAGTGTATGTGTGTGAGCCTGAGTGTATGTGTATACACCATCTGTTGAACTCCTTCAACAGAGATCACAAAGGGCACTGATGTCCTTAAAATATATTTATTTTTGGCTATGTGTATGTTTGTGCCTTGCATGTGCCCAAGGAGGCCAGAAGAAGGTGTCAGATCTCCTGGAGCTACAGTTACAACTGTGAGTTGAGTCACCCAGTGTGGGTGCTGGGATCCCAATTCCATTCCTGTGCAAGAAAAGCAAGTGTTATTAACTGCTGAGCCATCTCTCCAGCTCCTGATATGAGTTTTAAAGTCATTTCCAGATTGAAAATTCAGGGATGTGATCTTGATAACCTCCTTGGGACATGACAAACCCTGACCTGAAGCAGCCTGCACAGAAGGAAGATGCACAATGATTTGACTTTGTATTCTCATTCTCTCTCTCTCTCTCTCTCTCTCTCTCTCTCTCTCTCTCTCTCTCTCTGTGTGTGTGTGTGTGTGTGTGTGTGTGTGTGTGTGTGTGTGTGTGTGTGAGAACAGGAGATGCTAAGGCTGGAACCCAGGGCCTGAGAAGCAAGAACTATCTCTGAGCTCCCTTAAAAGGCCCCTCCTTTTATTTTAAATTAAAGTTTAGCAGTCACTCATGAGAATCATGTCTTCTCATCTTTACATTTCTCCATGGAATAGGTCTCTAGGTGTCCCACAGGATAAATTAAATGTTGTGAAAAGCCAAAGGAACAGCCCTGAAGCCACTGGAAATTTGTTCTCTAATTTCTCTTAGACTTCTCACAGACGGAGGTCATCAAAGAGGAAGGCCAGGGTCACTTCTATCCCTGTCACTTGCTCACACCTATCCCGACTCAAGTGAGTGCACATTCTCACTTCCTGACTCGGGTGAGTGCAAATCTCAGGTTTCTGTCCAAGCCTATTTTGTGGACACTCTATTTTTCTATACTGTGAAGACAGCAATAGAAATACTTCCATTTCCAAGGTCCTTGTTTGTGAATTACCATCGACCCTTGGACTATGGATGGGAAGAAGCCTCATGACACTTGTGACAAATCCGTTATCTGGTGCTGAATATGGAAAAGGTGACGGGCCAAGAACCATGAATTCACACTCAGAGCGTATGCTCATATGGGCTTGGCTATGTGTGGCCCTGCTAAGGGACCTGCATTCTCTAACAGTGCGAGGCTAGGGGTTGGGTTCCAGAAAAACAAAAACTTTCTACCCACCTGCCTTCAAACTTTGAATGTTCAAGTAAACAAATACATGAAATATGTTCAGAATAGCGTCTGGTGGGTGCAAGTGTCAAATGAACACGGGTAACAAAGTTGAACCCCTTCAGCTAAGCTGAAGCTGTGGTCTCTCCCACCCTCCTGTTCTCAGCCCCTCGTGGAAGGCAGGTGAAGTTCTTGTGCTATGCTCCCAGGTCCTAAGGCCAGCCGGGTTTACCTTCGTGTTGGTACACGCTTTCCCCTTTTTGTAGTCTTTGTGACTGCCCCGCTTGTCCAATTTGGCCCAGAGGGCTTTGGCCTTCCAGTAGTTGAGCTTGGACTTGAGCTTGTGGTAGAAGGAGCGGTAGTCCTTGGGCTTCAGTTCCAGGTGGTCACAGAGCTCTTGGAAGGCCCTGAGGGTTCCCTTGCAGGTAGTGGCCTGGACAAACCGGTCAAAGAGGACATGAGCTTGGTTCGTTGTCTCCTGCTTCCTCTCCTCCATGCTCCCCTACGCTTGGCACAACCCCACAGGGGACAGTGAAATGGCTGCTGATCCACCTGGCACTGTCACCTTAATCTAGGGGAAAACAAGGAAGAAAAATCAATGGTCAGCATCTCTGTGTTTATGAACATTTCCCTGGAGACATGCTCCTTCCCAAAGCCTAGTGACACTCATGTCCTTGATAGATATTCTCGGAGACTCTCTAGGAACCACACAGGGTGTCGGGAGCTGACAGTCTAGTAGGAAACATGATCACAGAGACGATGTTACAATGGACTATTCAGGGACTGCTGAGGCTTTCAGCTAGGCAAGGAGGGCATGCAAGACTGGGCAGGACAGTCACTCCAACTGTCCTGCGAGGGTCTCATACACTTCAGTCATGAGTGACTCGCAGTTTTCTGGTAGGAAGTTGCAGCAAGCCAAAAGATTAAAACCAAAAGCACTCACTTGTGTGGCTGCCTGGTGAGCTCACTGTCTTGAACCCACTAAATGAAGTACTTAACATGAATGACCCTGAAGTTTACTGAGTGGCTGGTGAGGGAGGCCAGGTGTAGGAGCCATCGGCACAGGGCAGGAGTGGAAACTACTTAAGCAGAGGGTATGCAATGAGAGCCCAGGAGCAAGAAGGGCCCAGGACTCTGCACAAGACCTGAGTACTCCAACCAACCTGACAGAGGCCAGCCAGAAGACAAGACTTTAAAGACTACTGCAAGAATTAGTACAGAGAAGGCTGAAGAAAGCCTAAGGACCGTGTCAGAGATGGCTAAGAAGCAGGAGACATCAGAGTCACCTGGCACATAAGAATTGCAAAGCTTTCCCCTGCGCATGGTACATTCGGAGTGGATTTACAGCTACCGCATTTTCCAAATTCATATTTTAGGATGGCAATGATGTTATTCATACCAAGTACTCATCAGAAATGGCCACCACCAGTCTCCGAGGATGTGTGCAGACAAACATTTGAAGAGGTGGGAGACAGCAACCTTACACACCTCTGCACCCATTCCTCCCCTGATGTCTTTTGTGACATGTTTTATTGGAAGCACTATTCAGAGACAGACAACAAGGAGTGCAGGAATCCCAGCCCAGCCTGGAGTCTGCACTGGACGGTGCACGGCCCTCGGGAAGTGAGCCTTCCTGCTGTGGCAATAGTTCCCATTTCAGAACTGAGGAGGAAGGCCTAATGACCTGCCAGCTCCTGGAGCCCTGAGGTCCTGTGTCAGCCGCTGGGACAGCTCTGCCCGTGGCACTCCTGTAGTGCCCCAGTTAAAACAGCTTACTCATCATCCGTTGTCTCCAGGGTAAATGGCACTGGGTGGAGCTCTGCTTTACCCTGCGATGAGGTGACTGAAGGAACTGGGGAGACGCACTGCACTTAGTACTGAGGGGCAAGGGGCTGCCACTATCCAGTGGACGGACTCAAGCTGGTGGAAATCTCTAGGTGTTGGTGTTGATGGTACCGATTCTCGGAGACAGACCCCAAGTTCTATGACATGGATGACCCTAGGACTGAGTGATGCTGTTTCTTTAGACAAATCACCAAGCAACAGAATGCTCAGGGAATTGGGGGACATTCTGCTTTTCTACCCATCCTGCTAAAACTTCATGGGATTAAATCAACCCCCAACCCCAAGACGCGGCGTCTTGGGTTCCACAGAAGAAGGCGGGAAATACGGGGGTCAGCGGTTCCCCTCCTGCTTCCCGGGAGAGAGTACAAGGCCTAGAGTGCAAGATGATGATTCTTACCACACACACTGCCTTGGCTTCTTACCACAAAACTGTGACTTACTCAACAGCCCCCCTGGCTCTGGACACCAAAAGCCACATTGCTAACAAACATGGATGGCTCGTCTCACTATCCATGTGGCCAAGAGTACAAGATTTAAAAACAACAAAAGGAAGAAGAAGGTGAAGAATGAATTATCTGGGGGTGTGGCTCAGTGGCAGAACATTGGACATGTGGAAGGCTCTGGGTTCATCTCTAGCCCCACAAATAGAGAAGAAATACAAAAACAAGTAAGAGAAATCCTGGAATTAATCAGAACCAACCTCCGGACTCCCCCTAAATAAAGGTTTATTTTAGGTCATGGCAGCAAAAAAAATATTTCGCAGGCCATAAAAAGAGTCCATTCTTTTCTTACAAGCCCAGACTCAGAAATGGTAGTCAGTCAAAAGACAGCTTGTAAGAGTGGAAAAATCCACATCTTTATGACGGATGAGGCAGAAGAAAGGGTGGCAAGGGACAACAAATGACTGTAACTGGGCTTCCAAGGGCGGGCACTGCCCTGCCCCTTTCAATCCCAGCCCTCATACCCTACCCGTGTTCACAACGACCTAAAGCTACTGGAGTTCCAATGCAACGTTCTCCAAGTTTTGCATACACCTGGACTGATCACCCGTGTCAAGAAGGAACATGGTTTCTCTCTGTTCCTAACTGGCTGCCACTGATTAGCTCTTGCCAGAATTCAATGCACTCAGCACCATGTAGTTTTTACTGAATTCAGCATGTTCAAGATTCTACACTACATAGGCTTCCTTTCCTTTCCTTTCCTTCCCTTCCCTTCCCTTCCCTTTCTTCCTCTCTTTCTTTTGGGGCAGGATCTCACTATGTACATAGCTCTGATGTCCTGGAACTCACTATGTAGATCAAGCTAGATTCAAACTCACAAAGATCTGTCTGCCTCTACCTCCCAAATGCTGGGATCAAAAGCGTGGACCACCACACCCATCTCATACCTCATTTCTAGAGCCTTTCCCACTTGTAGCACAATTTCCCTCAATGACCATCTTGGATACTGCTTTCCAAAGAACAGCTCTAGCCATGCAAGCCGTCCTTGGTTGGGTACTGCCTACTCTGAAGGAAATTCTCCCTTCCCCTGAGCTGCTAACCACCCCAGGGAATTCCAAAATCAAATTCCATCATGGCTGAACCCTTTCATTAATGAGCACCCCGATGCCTGTTTGAGTGTACAACGCTATTCTAATGTGCAGTCTCAGCCCAGGTCCCCAAAGGGTGCAGAGTATCTGCTCTGGGTCAGCAGGCAAGTATTAGGCGCCTCGGCTAAGGGATCGTGACCTGGAGGGCACTAATGACACCGGATAAGCAGAAGTAGGCTGGTTCTCAGAACAATGCAACAGGCACCCAGGGTAAAACTACACGAGACAAAGTCCCTTGGGCTGCCTCCCCTTTCGCCTCTGAGAGCCAGGTGCGCACAGCAGGGCGGCCAGCACTGTTCGGGCCATCTCACACACCTAGGCTGTGCTGCACTGGCTCACCCCCCCCCCCCCCGGGAACTTGCCCAGCACTGTGACTCACACTGAGAATGGCCAGGAAGAATGGGCCCATCCTGTTAAGCGTCATCTCCCCCCCCCCCAAATCCTGAAGGTCAAAGCTGCATCACAATCTTCCTGGCTTCTCCTCACGCAGTGTGTCACCCATCCGAACATTCTGGGAAAACCAACGCTCATAATCACAGGAACCTAGAGGCCAGGAAACCTGGCCAGAGAGGGCCAGAGCTCCTAGGGGTGCAAAGGCCAGGGTATGGCAGATGGAGGGAAATGGGGAGGGGTCTGGGGAGGAAGAAGAGCGAGGCCAGGTTTTCGGGTGTCAGGCATCTGTGTGGTTCTGCCACCCTGTGTTTTGTCTCGCAGCAGCTGATTGCTGACTCAGCTGTTTGCACATTCCTGGGCTGTGGAGGAGAGTGCTGAGGAGACAGACAGGCCTGGAAGAGCACAGGGAACAGCCTTGTGCTTTTCATTTCTAATAGGAAAGGCTGCCCTGACTTCCAGCTCTTAAAACTGATGGTAGGGACGGGGTGGGGGAGAGGAATGACTTATAAAAATAGAAAAAGAAAACCAGAAGAATAAGAAAACAGAGGCTCACCTCATGCACCATGTCAACAGGTGTAAAAATCTTGAACCCCGAAGGCCATCTAGGAAGCAATCCTTCCCCTGGCCCACTCTATGGGCACTAAGGCATCCCAAGAGACTCAGAAGTAGGTGAACAGGGATGCTTGCCTTGGAACACTGTTAGGAGGCAGATGCTTTTCTGATGATTGGGTGTCTCTGATTTGCCCTTGAGACAGCACCCAATCACCAGGATGGCTGTGTTCTCAAATGGTCTTCCATTTGAGAGGATGGGCTGCTAGGGTACAGACAGACACAAAGTCTGGCCTTGTGGACAGCCAGAGCCTAACTCAAAGACCTCTGGGTTTGGGTCCCTGTTGCCTGTAACTGCTTCAGCTACTCAGCTCACAGCTCTTAGACAAGGCTCCAGCTCGAAGGAAGCAAACCAAAATTAAATAGTATGGAGGTTCTTAAAGAATCAGAAACAGAACTATGCCATGACGCAATAATCTCAACTCTAGATGTATATCTGAAAGAAATGAAAGCAAGATCTTCAGTTTTTGTATACTCTTGCTTTTGGTTGTATCATCCACAATGGATAAAGTATCAACAGGTGACTAGATAAAGAAACTGTATGTGTACACACGTACACACACACACATACATACACACACATACTTCAATACAACCCAGCACGTGAGGGAGATAGAGACAGGGGGGTGAGGAGTTCAAGATGAGGCTTAGCTGTGTGAGACCCTGATAGCCACCACCAAGGTCAAAGGCAAATGCTCTATGCCTTCACTTAAGTGAGATAGTTAGGAAAATCAGAGAAGGAGTAGAACAGTGGTTGTCAGGCCTAGAGGTGAGGGAGACAGAGTTACAGAGAGGTATGGTGTGGGAGGCTGCATCGATTTGACTAGCCTGGCTGGCCAGAGAACTCCAGTGCTGGGTTGACAGCTGCAAACCACTGTGGCTAGCTCTGACATTGTGGGCTCTGAGAATCTGGACTCAGGTCCTCATGCCTGCGAGGCAAACACTTCCCTGAGCCATTTCCTCAGCTTGTTTAGTTTGCTTGGGTTTCTGTGATGTGTCTCACTTAGCTCAGGCTGATCTCAAACTCACTGTGTAATCAATTAAGGCTGGCCTCTAACTCCTGATTCTCCTGCCTCTACTTTCCAAGTACTGGGATTACAAGTGTTAGTCACCAGGCCTGGCTGGATTACTATAGC